CACGCATCGAATCTATGCTTTGTGGGCGAAAGGAACTCTAAGCATGAATTCTTTCAACTTAAGTGGAAACCTGACTAATGGGCAAAAAGAATAGGAATCTAGTAGAATGCGATACATTTAGGTTATGATTGGTAATCGCATGTAATGGCCAAAAAAAAAGTGACAAGAGCACGGCGCAGAGATTTTGAACTGCAATCGTCAAAGCTATGGGGCAACAAAAACGATCCAAGCGCACAACTTCAAATTTAACTGATTTGTTTTGAAACCAAATTTGTTCCGTGTTTTTTTCTTAAAGTTTTTCCTTCGATTTTTTTCGATTTTTTTGGGGGTTCAGCTTACAGTACCACGAAATGATCGAGGGTCAAGGGCCAAAAATGGTCTGAAGGGTCCAAGCTGTAAATGTGACCCAGCATGACTGGCAAAAGATGCCTATAGGGTTTCCTGTATGACCTAACGCATCCCAAAATAAATCACTACAAAATGCATTTCCGATTTTCAAGTGCTAAATGAAACGCCGCTACCAGATGCAGCGAACGCCCTCTTACTACAAAAACCCGTGCACGACTTCATTTTTTGGGCATGAATTTTCCACGAAACGGGGAATGGTATCAAGCACGTGTTCACCCTTTTAGTAGTGGAAATCGTAAGGGGGATATGAAATGGACGAGTTGAAAGGAAAGGAAAAGCAAAACGAACAGAAAGGAAGAGTTGAAGCGAAAGAAAGATAAAAAAGCAGGTAACGAAATGAACGGCTTGAAACGAAAGGAAGAGGTAAACGAACTGGGTGGAAACATTGAAACAAAAGGAATGGAAGTAACGAAATGAACGCCGTGAAATGAAAGAAAGAGGTAAATGACAATGAACAGGATGGAAGCGTTGAAACGATGGGAAGAAAGTAACGAAGGGAAGGGGAGAGTTTAAAACGAAAGGAACGAGGTATAGGGAACAGAAGCGAAGAGTTGAAACGAAAGGGGAAAAAGTAACGAACCGCATTGAGAAGAGTTGAAAAGAAAGGAAAGAAGTAACGAATCGAAGGGTAGAGTTGCAACGAAAGGACGGACGCGATGAAATTAACGCGCGGAGAGGAAAGGAGGAGGTAAACGAAGCGCATGTAAGACTATAGAAACTAAAGGAAAAAAGTATAACGAAATGCACGGTTCGAAACGAAAGGAAGAGGTAAACGAACCGGATGTAAGAGTTGAAAAAAGGAGGAGGTAACGAAATGAACGACTTTGAAAAAAGGAAGAGGTAAACAAACCGCATGGAAGACTTAAGAAAAAGGAAGGAAATAGCGACATGAACACATTGACATGATAGGAAAAGGTAAATGAACAGGATGGAAGCGTTGAAACGATGGGGAAGAAGTAGCGAACGGAAGGGAAGAGTTAAAACGATTTAAATCGGAAGGAACGGTGTATAGGGAACAGAAAGGAAGAGTTGAAACGACAGGGAAGAAGGAGCAAACGGGATTACAAAGAGTTGAAACGAAAGGAAGGAAGTAACGAATGGAAGGGAAGAGTTGCAACAAAAATACGGACGCATACGGACGCAATGAGATGGACCAGTTGACAAGAAAGGAAGAGCAGGAAGAACAGGACAGAAGATTGGAGCGAAAACATGGACCTAACGGAATGAAGGCGTTTAAATGAGAGGAAGAGGTGAATGAATAAATTGAAACAATCGGGGGGAAGTAACGAACGGAGCAGAAGTAAAACGCAAGGAGCGACGTAGGGAACAGAAGGGAAGACAAAACGAAAGGGAAGACTAACCAACGAAATGCTCTGGATGCTGTAGCCTCCGGGTTTGCTCTCTGAAATTTTTAAACTTATTTTGATGCTGCGCTCTTGGCCTTCTCCTGAAGCATTTCAGCACGCACTTGACGCGACGCTCTGGAGACAGTCACCTCTTGAATGCTAGGTGAATTTTCTCTTGGAAGTTCGAACAGGCTCTTGGTGCTACGCTGTTGGTTTACCCTTAGGTTTTCCGACGCGTTTGTGCTGCTACGCTCTTAGCTTTCTCCTGGGACAGTCTGGCAAGCTCTTGATGCTATATACGCTCCTAGCTGTCTATTGGAACCTCCAACACGCCCTTGGTGCTTTTTACTCTCTTAACTATCTCGCGGGCTGTCCAACACTTTCTCTTTGCCTTGCCCTGGAGCGTGCCAGCACGCTCTTGACGCTACGCTCTTGGCTTCTCTTGAAGCATGGCACGCTATTTTTGCATCTTTTTGCGGGACATCTGAAGTCCAACACGCTCTTGATGCTACGTTCTTGGCTCCGAAGCTGACGCTCTCTTGATGCTACGTGCTGAACCTCCGCCTCTTGACGCTGCGGTCTGGAGAAAGTCACGTTCTTCTTCGTGCTACGCTCGTAGCTTTGTTTTGGAACCCGCCAGGACGCTCTAGTTGCTACGATTGCTACGTTCTTTTGTTCTTCCTCAAGAATTTGAGCACGCGCTTGATGCTACGCTCTGACCTCCAACACGTTCTGGATGCTAGACTCTTAGGTTTGTCTTGGTCCTTCAACACGCTCTCTTGGTATTACTCGCTTAGGTCTCTCTTGGAACTTCCAACACGTTCTTGGTGGTCGCTCTTGACTTCCTCTTCGAACTGCCAGCGTTCTTTTGACGCTAGCCTACTGTGCTATGTTTTTAGCCTTGGAACTTCCGACACGCTCTTGCTGTTACGCACTAAACTCCCGCATGTCCTGAATGCTACACGCTTAATTTTTTTCATTGAACTTCCTGAGTTTTCCGGCGCTCTCTTGGTTTGGGTTTGGTAAGAAGCTACGAAGGTTCTACTACTTCAACTTCATGATTGATCCTTGCGTCAAGGATTTTCAACTGAGGTTGCAAAAACGCGCCACAAGATTGATACTGTAATTTGCCACAACACTTTGTACTACCTTTACACTTTATATTTCTACATAACCTAGCCGTGGTGATCAAACCAAATCCCTATCTGCCCTCCGGCTCCTCTTCCTCTCTACATTCCTCTATGTATCTTCCCACATACTAGTACTAAGACTACAGTACGCCTGCGCCCTTGCTCGTCATGCCTAGCCTCTCAACAGGCAATGTGTCGTCACGCAAACACAATGCCTCGTCAGGGGGTAATGCGTTGTCAGGGGGCAATGCGTCGTCAGGCAATGTGTCGTCACAATGCGTCGTCAGAGGGCAATGCATCGTCAGGGAATGTGTTGTCACAATGCGTCATCAGGGGGCAACGCGTCATCAGGGGCAATGCGTCGTCAGGGAATGTGTCGTCACAATGCGTCGTCAGCGGGTAATGCGTCGTCAGGGAGCAATGCGTCGTCAGGGAATGTGTCGTCGTCAGGGAGCAAATGCGTCGTCAGGGAATGTTGTCGGGGGGCAATGCGTCGTCAGGGCATGTGTCGCCACAATGCGTCGTCAGGGGGTAATGCGTCATCCGTCAGGGAATTGGATCCAATGAGTGAACCGGTAGGAACCGACAAACCGACATAAACCGAACTGCCGCCGTAGCAAATACTAGAAACTGAAACCGAACCGAACTTTAGAAGTAACCTTACGTAGCAACAAATAGAGGTCGGCAACATCCGCCACGTCGCACGCATTAAACTTGCAATCACAACGTAATCACATATCAAACCTCAAGAGAGAACATGACACAACAGGCATATGTGAACAGGCAGATTAACAGGCAGATATCGACGGGATATCAGATTCGATGCGCTTCTTGCCGGGCACGCTGTGTCTGCATTTTTTTTCGCAACATGATCCAAGACCGCCTGCAAATTCCCGCAGTATACCTAAAGGTAGGTATCCAAAGGTTGTAATGTTGGTAAAGAAATGTAAAGACATAATATTAAGTTATAATAAACCATGCATATTTTCATACGTAGTATATGATATTCATTTATGGTAAAATTGGGGGGTAGTTTACCATATACCAACACTATAAGGTTGATCTTTGTACGCCAACAATCGCAGCGTCGTCCCTCGGCGATTCAGATTTCTTTGGGGCAGCCCAAATTTCGCGGTGTGTTCTGTTTGTTGATTTTTCATTGAACAGTTTTATGCCAGCATGCGGTAATATAATGATATAATATCTGGTAGTATCAATATCATTTCTCGTGGAACGACATCTATGCTACGTACATAAAATATGACCATCGGATTGCGTAGGCCAAGTGTAACCACCCTCATGGTTTCACGTTTCGCCCATTGTCCATTGTTGGAACGCTTCGAGGTTGCAAATGCGCTCATCGCAAAAAAAGGCTTCCGAAAATGAATTGATGGAAGATTTTCCAGCAAAGCTTGACGAGTGGCGGGTACACTTTTGACGTGGCCTGTGTGAACTTTGTTGTGTTTTCGCCTTGGTTATGTCGCCTTACGTCCGCGTGGCCGTTGCATCGCCGCTGCAGACCCGGTCCCTTTTTCGGCAGGACGGCTAGCTCAGCTCCTTGAGGCCTCGCTCACAGATGTTGAACCTCGACAGCTGGAGGATCCATCGCTGAACCCAAGAGAGATGATTTAGTGACTTCTCCACTGATTCTAACCATTTCTAACCCATATTTGTTTTTTGCAATTGAAACCGATTACAGTAGTCCTTGAATTACTAAAAATCGAGTTCTGACTCTCTGGTTCTCCCCTTTAAGGATCATAAATCAATCAAATGTTGTAAGTCACTTTTTCAGGGAGAAAGTTGATCACGGCCAGAGGTAGGCTAGTATAGTAGGCTGGCAAGAATCAAAGGCCTACAGGAAAACAAAGCCAGCTCAATCTTACTTGAGCTGAATGACAACATGTAAAGACTAAGCATCAGTTAATTACTATATGATATTGATCAATGGAACCATGTTGCAATATGTTGAAATCCTTTGGACCCTGGGTCTGACATGTGTGTGGTTCCTTCGCGTGGGCTAGGGGATTCCCCAATAGAAGTGGCTAGGAATGGCTAGGACCAGGATGTATTAAACAAAAACCTCCCACGAATTTTCATGAAAAAAATTCCTGATGTTCAGGACCGTTCCCTCACTCGTCTTTTTCCTTTTTGACCAACGGGCGTGGCGTGGCATCATCTCCTGGCGTTCGGCATCTTCCGCGGCCACCAGTTGTAATCACCCGCCGACATCATCAGAGCGGGGACCAGCACCGTCCGCACCACGTAGGTGTCCAGCAACACCGAGGTCACCAGCAGAAGAGCGAACTGCTGATGCAACAACTTCTCCGAAAAGAATAAACCACTAAAGGCCAGCGCCATGATGGCCCCTGCACCTGCGGACTCCCAATGGTCCGTATAACATCATATAACTATGTGTCAATGGTCTGTATAACATCGTTTAACTATGTATAACTCATGACAACTTCATCATGTTCATACGCACCGCTTTGCATGATGATTCTCCCCAATGACCATCACCAACATACTTAACTAACATCTATTTTATCTATTTACTTAAAATTGTTAAAATATCAATATTTAATCAAATCAGCTAGTATAATCCACATAATTCCATAGAACCATCATCCAACATCAATCCCTAATCCGTCTTAACCATTCAGTAGGCTTGGCGTCAACTAGCCCTGCACCTGAAATGATGCCTCCCGTGCTTGCAACACCAAGGATGATACTGGACCGGTCGTTGAAGCCCTCCTTTCGGAATTCCACAATCCGACTCACCAGGAAAATGTCGTAGTCCAGACCCAAAGCCACCGCGATGCAAATGGCCATGGGGACAATCTCAAAGCAAAGGCCATCATAGTTCACCAGCCATGGAAAAAGGCCATGGAAGAGTGGCGTCTGATAGAAGACCACGGCCATGCCAAAGGTGGCCGCCAGGGTAAAAAGGAGAGCAAATGCCAGGCGCAAGGGCAACAAAATGCTTCTAAACACGCCAAACACAACGGCTGATATCAGCAAAATGCAAACGGCGAGGTAAGTGGGCACTGCGTGCATTACAGTGTCCTGCGAATCGACCATGAGCGTTGCTCCACCCGCAAGAAAAGCGGTGAACTCAGGATGCTGCTCTTGCCACAGCGCAAGACCATGCCGTACAGTCCGCACCCAAGTTGCACCGTTTGATCCCCTTGGCAAGAAATCTGTAAATACCTCTAGGAGCACTGCAGATCCATTGACATGGCTTTGCATCACTTTTCCATAGGCCTTGTGAAGTTCCAAGGATGATGGCTCCTTCTGCCAGCGTTGTGCGGTGTCCCAATCGACACTTTGATCCAATAGGTACACCGGGCCCAAGATGGAATCTACTCCAATGGCCTGTAGCATGGTGCAGAGCTGAAGCATGGCCTTGTAGCCTTCCTCTGAAAGCAGCGCGCTTCCAGAAAGGACCACAAAATAAGGATCAAATTGTCCAGCGGGAAACTCTTGGGCCAGCTCCCTCATGGCCACCACACTGGGCAAATCCCCGGGCAGTGATGCATAGATATCGGCCGTGCCATGCAACTTGGGGATCTGCCATGTCAACGGCAAAAACACCAGAAATACAAGACACACTGCCATCCTGGGCCATCGCTCGATGAGCCGCATCAAACGCAGCCAGCCGCGAGAGCTGCTGTGCTTCACGAAGACTTCCTCCCCAACCAAGGCATCTCGCTCGCTGCCGCTTAGGCCGCTGAGCCCTATGGAACCCCACTGGTGTTCATCATTTCCATTGCTTCCATCCTCCGTCAACCGCTCGCCAAAGAGGTACAGCAACGCAGGGGACAGGCAAATGTTCACCACCATGCTACAGACTACGGTGATGCCCAAGACTAGCCCTGCACTGTGCAGATTCTGCTCTGGCAAAAAGAAAGCTCCAAAGAAGGCGATGGCGATCAAACCACCGCTCACTAGAATGGTCTGACCTGTCTGACACAGTAAGATTTCAGCATTGTCCTCCCGGTCCAAAGCTTTGGATTTGTTCTCCATGAAGCGGCTCAACATAAACAAACTATAATCCAAGCTGACTGCCAACAACACTGACACCATGGCCGGTGGCACGTCTGGCGACAGCGGCGTCCACTTCGCCAAAGGCACAGAGCAGCCAGCGCTCAGGGCAAGGGAGCACAAGAGCACCAAGGGTGGAAGGGCTAACAACCTGGCGGGCAGACCGTGGAAGACAGTCACATAAAACAAATTCCAAATTCACAATTCTTTAAACAACATTTTCCCGGGTGCTCAACCCGGTGATGTTTTTTTGCAGTCTCATCCCCAACCTGATCTCTCGCACCAGCCAAATGAAGATCATGGTGGCCAAGGGCAGCACGAACAGCTCTGCTCGCAACAGCAATTCGATGCTGTGATCGAAGAAGCGTTCGTATTCGATGACTGGGTTTCCAGTCAGAAGGACTTCAGTATCTCTTGGCACGTCCACCAGCAACTCGTGTAGAAACTCCATGAGTTGTTTCCGATAGAGCCACGGAGCAAAGACAGTGCGATTGGATCCATTGCTGGTGAAGGTGGCATAGGTCGGGAAGGAGGTGGGGATCAGCACCAACAGCGTGGTCTTCTCATCCCTTGAGACCAACTTCTGTCGTACCAACTTGGAAGGCAGCTGGAAGCCACCGTGACCGAAGCGGTTGCTGGCATAAACCCCCAGCACCAGGGGATTCAACACCTTCGCCCTGGGATCATTCAAACTTTGCTCCACCCGAGTTGTGAACTGCTCCACTTCCGGAGTGAGGACGCTGCCAGTTTTGCTTCGGATGACCAGCATCACCGGGGCCTCGGCAGCCTCGGCGAACACTGGAAAGAAGCGCTTCAGCTGCTGTTGGCCAAGGATCCCAGGACTGTCGCGACCGGCTGAAAAACCCAAGGGCTGATGGTAGTGCACCAGCACTGGGACTTGAGGTAAGCCCCCAACAGTGACCAGCAGCCCCAACACCACTACACACCAGGCAGCTCGCTTGTAAGCTCTTGGCAAGGTCTCATCATCTGAGTCGGAGGAATCCATAGCACAAGTACCAAGAAATGCAGGCCAAGTTTCCTGGATTATAACATTTCCCAGGGAGTTGATGACAAATTAGAATGGACGAAAAAAATGTTCTGAAACTACCAGGTTACCAGCCCAGAAGTGGTATGATGTCATAGAGTGTTTGAAGCACAATAAGAGTTGGCATGATCAGTGAAGTGGCCAGCAAGATCTTTTTCATTCGGTGATGTCCTCTTTCCATTGATGATTTTTTGAGTTGTGAAACGATTTCTTTGGGTATCACAGGGTGCGTAGTGTCAATTTATTTTGATGTTTTTTGATGTTTGTTTTTATGTCAAGTGTTTGATCCATAGCTGCAAAACCATGGAGTCCAAACTCCGCACGGCAAGCTACGCCTAGTCCTAAAGTTTCCCTTCATATCAGATTCCACCAACCAGTAAGGCTGGCGTGGCAGTGGAAGTCCCCTTGGGCTGGTGCCAGTGAAGCAAACAAAGACGTAATGGACATCTAAAGTATGAATGTATCGGACTGGACTACAATTGACGTGCCAAGCAATTTCACTTCTAAATCGGTACTTTGGAAGGCCCTAGGAACAAAAGTGTTCTATCATTCTAACATGATCTAATAAGAAAAAACTGAAGCAACAAGATGCAGCCCACGAACCCGGACGCAGTCATGTATGTGAACAGTCTACATTTTCCCCTGTTGCCGTACCAGTCCCCTGTAGACTGTGGAATGCGGAAGCCGGTGGAGTGCAAAGTGTGGAGTGTAGAGTGCAAAGTGTAGAGAATAAAGTGTAGAGTGTGGAGTGTGGAGTGTACAGTATAGAGTGTAGAGTGCGGAGTGTGAAGTGTAGAGTGTGGAGTTTAGAGTGTGGAGTGTGGACTGTGGACTGTGGAGTGTAGAGTGTAAAGTGTAAAGTGTAGAGTGTAAAGTGTGGAATGTAAAGCGCGGTGTATAAAGTGCAAAGTGTGGAGTGTAAAGTGTAGAGTGTGGAGTGTGGAGTGTAGAGTGTGGAGTGTAGAGTGTGGAGTGTAAAGTGTGGAGTGTGGAGTATAAAGTGCGGGGTATAAAGTGTAGAGTGTGGAGTGTGGAGTGAGGAGTGTAAAGTGTGAAGTGTAAAGTCTAAAGTGTGGAGTGTAGAGTGTGGGGTATACAGTGTGGAGTGTAAAGTGTAAAGTGTAAAGTGTAAAGTGTAGAGTGTAAAGTGTGGAGTGTAAAGCACGGAGTGTAAAGTGTAAAGTGTGGAGTGTAAAGTGTAGAGTGTGGCGTGTAGAGCAAGCAATGCGACACGTCTGAAGTGCTGCACCTATCATGCAAAATGACGACAGAGATCTCCAAAATGCTGCGCCTGCCACGAAAACTGCAACTCATCTTGTGAAAACAACGCAAAAGTATTGCGCCTGCCACACAAAACGACTTTTGACACGTTACCCAACAGGTTGGAATGTCACAAAGCGCCGCGCTTGCCACGCAAAACAACATGACAACCTGCTTGGAAACCTTCGAAAAGGAGAGATGTTTTACAGCTTCCCCCATAGACACGGCGACGCCACAGGAAAACCAGAGACTCGGGACAAGACACGTGGGAGCATCAAAACGAGCATTTCGTGCGAGACTTCCTCCAATTTTCACACTTTCTAGCTTCAAAACCGATGTTTTCCTACGAGTTTTCTTGTGAACCTCTAAATTTGCTACCTCGAAATCGATGTTTCGTGCGAGGCTTCCGTCAATTTTCATCACATCTCACAAAATGCAACGCCTGCCACGGAATTTGCACCTTGTCGCCACTTGACGCAGCCCTGACAATACGATTTGCAAAAAACACGCAGCACGACACGTTTAAAGTGCTGCGCCTGCCAGGCAAAATGACGAAGGGCACGTCCAAAGTGCTGCGCCTGCCACGAAAACTGCAACGCATCTTCTGAAAGCGTCGCTAAAAGTATTGCGCCTGCCACACAAAACAACTTTCGACGCGTTACAAAACACGTCTGAATGTCACAAAGTGCCACGCCTGCCACGCAAAACGAAGCAACGCGACATGTGCAACATCCAAAAGTGACCCCTTTTGCAGAACTTACCATAGGCACGGCCATAGCCACCTCGCGCGGACGGTTGCGAACGGTTGCGGACGGTTGCGGACAGTTGCGGACGGTTGGGCAACGTCAAGCGAACACACCCTCAACCCCCAGAATGTCTCCAACATCCCAGTGGTTGCTGATGAAATATCTCAATTCTATATATTCTATTATATTCTATTCTATTCTTCAGACATCTTAAGACTCTTTTCCTTTTCTAGCCTTACTTTAGTCAGGAATGAGGGAATGAGGTAGAGAGATGAAAGATATGAAATAAGTAAACATCATGATTTCACCTAACCGAAATGATGCCAGAGGGAATGAGGTAGAGAGATGAAAGATATGAAATAAGTAAACATTATGATCTCACCTAGCGGAAATGATGCCAGAAGTATGCAGCACGGAAGAAACACTAAGAATCGCAGATCATTTCAATAAAAAGGTCGTCATGCAGTCATGGACAAAATTCACGCACTACCCCCAGAGTGAAACGGGAACCCTTGCTACGCATTCGGGAAAAACTAGATGTCAACTACCCGAATTTCAGGTTCTAGGATTCAGGTTCTGCCAAACTATTTCACTAAACCATACTAAACCTAAGTCCATGTTGAAGTCATTCGTTTCTCATCCAAAACACCATCTGTAGAATCCATTGAGGTCATTCTGGAGATATCAGCCACTGACCATAGGCCACTAATAGTGTTTAGCATCTTCTATGAACTGCTATGATACCTAAAATTGGAATCAGAAAAGGGAGAAACAATGGGGTATGTTATACAGTTATACATCATCATCCCGAATGGTAGAATGTTAAATCACATGATAATAGCACATGCGTTAATCTTCACTTGTCAGTTCCTCATCTTTTCTTGCCGCATGCTAGTAAAAGGTGGTAGTTTTTAACCCTGATGCCATGCCCCCGGTCCCCGGTCCATTCATGATTGGTCCTGACCATCCGCAACAATCCAAAACTATCTGACTTCCATTTTATTTTATATCCGCAGAAATTGTGGGTGTTTGGGAATCTAGCAACTCCGCCACTTTGGATTTTCTTATTCCTCGGTAGCAGAGACCACATTAACACAAATACTTGCTGGCTTCCAACCCTTTTGTCGCCACCCCAAGCCTGCGGTGGCATGGCGATTGTAAAATGAGTTGTCGCAGCGGCGTTGAAGTTTGGTGAATCTTTGCAAGCTAAGCTGTGGTTTGCGCTGGGATGCGCTGGGACTCTAACACAAACAATTTTCAAAGAGAGAACATCATAGTAAGAGTGTGAACCATGCTCCAATTAAACCCAATCCAGGATCACTCTGCGACCCTTCATAAATTGAAACGCTCAGTGGTGTCGGTGCTGTATGGTGAACTCCGCAAGGAGTCGCACGGCAAGTATTTCAAGAAGTGCCTTTCAGGTGAGTTGAGGACCGAGTTGAGCCGCACTGCCTTGAACCCATTTCCGCAGTTCCATGCTTCGGGCGCCAATCATACGGAAAGCATGTTGTTTTACAGTTTTTTCATGTTTTTTCTGGTGTTTTTTGCCATGTTTTACCACTTTGACCACAGAGTGATGTGGATGTCCTCCCCAATTTCCTCCTCTTCCTTTTTCTCGTGTGCACGGGGCCAACTGTCCCGGAAAACGTGTAGCCAAAGGCGGTCACCTGGCTACCAGCGACACCCCGCAGTGGTGCCAGCACTCAATCGATTGCAACCGTTGGTGCCGGACCAACGGGGGAGTCGTGTCGCAACGTGCATCATGGATTGCTATTCATAGTACCCAGTGGGGGATCAAACTTTGAGACAAGTGGATCAACAACTCGAAATCGGATTTAACTGCTGCTCTGATTCTGTCAAGTCTTCCCCTGGTCTGGGTTCCGGCAAAAGCATGATCTAGAAATTTCACTATCTTTCACCAAGATTCTGGCATTCTGTTGATGCCTAGTGAGGGCTTGACCCTCATCACCTGGTCCTCTAGAAGGAAGTCAGGTTTATCAACCCGTTGCCATCCGTTGCCATCCGTTGCCCAGGGTGAAACGAAATCCGTGGGACAAACGCTAAGGAGGCGTGCGAGCATCGATCATGCGTGAATTCTCGGAAGGCAACTCCATCTGTGCCCTGTGAAGCAACCATCTCACTGGTAACACAAAAATCTGCTTGGTGACTAGGCCATCCATCAGAAGAAAATAATGTAAATTGATGTAAATTGTGATTAGTGTGTGTATATATATATATATATTCAAACCACCAACCAGCAAATGATCTGGGAATGCCAAGACACGTTCTGATACTGCCTATCTATCGTCTCCGAAATGCTTGCTAGAGATGGCTTGGCTTAAAAGCACAGCTTCAAGTCGGAAATTTGGTGAACTCAAAGGCTGCATCTATTTCCCTACCACGCTCGGCTGGCTGAACATGAGCGCTCTCGGGAGGCAGTGGGGTGCCCACTTGACGTCTTGAAAGAGAAACCGTGCACACTGTGCGTTTTTTCATTGATGTGGTACTAAGGTGTCCATCTGTGAAACCGTGGGCATATTTCACAAATAAATTCAAGATACATCAAGGTACTGCAAGTATTCAGCGATAGAGTTGCAAACATTTTGCACTGGGAATGTCTGCCATATATTGAGACATTGAACACATCACTCTATTGATTCATCTTCCCGTCGCCACAGTTTCTCCCCTGAGATGTCTATAAATCAAGGGTGGAGCGCACCACTACGGCGCTCGTACTCTGACCGTGCGGCTTCCACACCGTTGTGCCTCAGCCACCATCAGTCACCATCAGCCAACATCCATTGGTCCGTGGCCAACCACCCCCATGTATGTTTTGAAAATCAAGAGATCACCAGCAGTTGTGGGAAGTTCTTCCCAATTTTTCTGTTGCCAAATGCTAAATATGGTTAAACTGTTAAAAGATGTTAAAAGTTAAACCTCATGAAACTCCGACAGAGTGGTAGTGGTCGCTCCTTAAACTATCAAGTTGAGAGTTCATTATTCGGGTATGTCCCAAATGGCTGCAGGGGGCCCAACCAAAATACAAACCTCTGGTCTCTTCAAACAGACTATCAGGTGGTGGAAGTGTGGTTTCGTCCCAGAAAATCCAAGGGTTTGGACCTAAGTTGGACCGTGCCCTTTTGACACACAGTTTGGACACATCTGACACATCCCATGATCCATCCCAGGCCCATCCCATAGTCGCCGCCTGACATGCGATGCGACCAGCGAGGATTCACGACTTGGACGCGTCTTTGACCCTGTCCTTGCAGGGCATCCATGGAGATGGGGTTAATCGAGCGGTTAATCCCTTGTGAAAATGGTGGGTAAATGGTGGGTAATCATAATAATCCAATGACCATCTAAGAAATCCTTGGATGTTTCTAGTGACTTAGTAACTCATGTCTGGCTTCTTGGCATATATTTTACTCTATTTTTTACTACTCCTCGCATGGTAGGTAAAACGACTCATCCAATCTGACTTTCGGGCAATGCAAACAGTTTCAGAAGGCGGGCTACCCAAAAAGAATTTCCTCCTATAGTTCAGTGCGGTCAAAAGCTCACAGCCATTCACCAATGTGATGTGGTAAAACCCATAATAATCCCATTCCCATTTACGCATGCTACCAGTTGGATCCATTTGGAGGCATTCAGAAGCCCAAGAAGATCTGAGAAGAGTTTATTCTTGGAGTTACAGTACCTCATTAAGTATCTTTTATATATAACATTATTATTATTACTATTATTAGTATTATTATTATTGTTATTATTATTGTTGTTATTATTATTATTGTTTTAATATTATTATTATTGTTTTAATATTATTATTATTTTAATATTATTATTATTATTATTATATTATATTATTATTATTATTATTATTTATTATTATATATTATTATTATTATTATTTATTATTATTATTTATTATTATTACTATTATTATTATTATTTATTATTATTATTATTATTATATATTATTATTATTATTATTATTATTATTGTGACCTTCTGAAACCACTCAAAACCACACCATGCAAGCCTTGGAAGCACAACTGTAGAAATTCATGCCACGGCTCCGTCGGGATCCCAAAGGCTTTGCCGAAGGAGGGAGCACCTGAGTACTCGCTGGACCGTTCGATGATCTGCACCAAGCATCGGATTTGGTGATTGAAATGAAAATCGCGTGGGTCGCCCAGAATGGGACATTGATGGTACATGAATCAACATTTACCACACCCCTGGCTGTTTTTTTTGGTAAATCACGGCTTTGCTGGGCTGATAAGAATTCCTTTTCCAGGGCATTGCAAGGAATGCATCTTGAGCCCTATCTGCAAGTCAAATCCCCTCTATTTTGCAGGTGAAACTGCTGAAACCCCTGATTTCCTTTGCCACTCGAAATGCCCGTTTTCAAAACGCTGTTGAGACTGGACGCTTTCCCTCCGTTCAGGCTTGCCCTGCCCCAGTTTGCGACCGACGCGCGGAAGCCTCGGGAACTGGTGGCTTGCAGAAGGCTTAGTTCAACACTAAAGAACATCAACGTCAACATCAACTTTGTAAGTTCGGTGAGTTCAGTGTGGGAATCTGTGAAGATTGCACAACTCACAGTTTCAGATAATTTTTGGATTCTGTAGACAATCCAATCCAAGTCGGTGTTCGTTTTGGTTGTTTCAAATACATAGTGAGTCTAGATGTGTCTAGTTGGTGGTTTCAACCCCGACCAAACTCTGGGCCAGGTACAACGTAGGCGAAAGACCTGCAGGACTTTGAGGCAGCACCAGCATTTGTGTCGGCACTTGTAGTTTTTTTTCTCCACGTGGTTTTATTCTAGAAATAGTTGTTCTTTGAATTTAGTTGATTCAAAATCCTGGTTGTCTCAGTGTTTAAAGGTTTTCTATTTTCGACCCATTCCCAAAGTATCGCAGTTGGTTGGTATCCTACTTGTTCAAGTGTTTTTCATGTATTACGTGATGTGTTGCCCATTATTGGTTTTTAGGGTGTAGTGTTTGGATCATGTTCAATCATCTCAATTCATGATTCATGATGTAAATTCGGTTTGAATCTTGTCAGCTCATGTAGAAAAAACAAACATTAAATCCGCTTGTTCGATTCTTTTGGGGTGAATGAAACCATATGAAACCCTTCAAAATAAAAATACATCTATAAAGCATTATAAAATCCGCCCACACCGCTTTGGCGGTGAAGGCGTGCTTATTGGGGGGCAACAGCAACACTAAATGCTCAATGACATTTGTTAATATAGCAGTCGCTATATCAGCTTTAGCTGGGGGGGGGGGGCAAAAACGGTTTCGCACCGAGACCAGAATACGGTGGTGTTTTCGACATTTTTCGAGGATTTTTGGGTGTCTGAGCGCAAGAGGGTATTGAAATGGAATTTTGGGTCATTTTGGTAGCTTTCCGGCAATGGAAAAACGGCCAAAAATGAAAAAACATTGTACATAGCAAGATTTTGCAGGGTTTTTGGATGCCAGAGCATTGAAAACACTGCAAAAACAAGTGTTTTGGACTGACGTTATAGCAAAAAACGTGTAAATTACCGTATGCTTGACTGGAAACATTACAAAAACACTGTCAAAAGCAATGTTTTGGAAGGATTTACTGCCTTTATTGCAAAAAACGTGTAAATTACCGTCTGTTTGACTGGAAACATTGGAAAAACACTGTCAAAAAAAATGTTTTGGAAGGATTTCTTATATATATGTTGGAGTTGGCTACCGGCATTGGCACATGGAAAAATTGAAGAAAACACTGTAAATAGCGGTATTTTCAACGGTTGGGGAGATAAGGGAATTGGAAGCATTGTCGAACATTATGTTTTCGACCGGTTTTATGGCGACAAAAGTGTAAAGTACCGTGCTTTGAAGGAAACCATTGCAAAAACATGGAAACACATTCAAAGAACACGGGATTTGGGGGACTATCTAGGCGTCGTTGTCTAGCTATTTGAAATTCCGCAGCTTGGAGAGCTTCCAAGGGAGGGAAAAGTGAAAATTCCATAGCTTGGGAAGCTGTCACGGCGGGGAAAAGTGAAAATTCCCTAGCTTGGGAAGCCCCCACGGGGGGGAAAAGTGAAAATTCCCTAGCTTGGGGAGCCCCCACGGGGGGGAAAAGTGAAAATTCCCTAGCTTGGGGAGCCCCCACGGGGGGGGAAAGTGAAAATTCCCTAGCTTGGGGAGCCCCCACGGGGGGGAAAAGTGAAAATTCCCTAGCTTGGGGAGCCCCCACGGGGGGGAAAAGTGAAAATTCCCTAGCTTGGGGAGCCCCCACGGGGGGGGGGAAAAGTGAAAACCCTTAGCTTAAACCTGCTTGGGGAGCCCCCAGCTTAGCCCCTCTCACGGACCGTCACCTTCGTCCCCTTCACGGGGTGGGCCAATCGAACTCCGTCAGTCGGAATCTTCAATTAGCCCTTGAACGCCTCGAGTCATGGGGCATGCCCCCACGGGGGGGTCCATCATGGTATGTTTCAATAATCCCAATAAATAGTAGGTTACAACAGTTCTGCGATGTTGTGCGGTTTGATCATTTCAATACGAAATGGAAACCATGACTATATATATCAAAACATTCAAAAACATGGTCAACATAATGTCAAGCCCACAAAAGTGATTATGGAATATTATGGTTAATTACACAATTATATACGGGCCAAAATGTAAGACTCTGGGAACCACGAACTTTGAACCACGAACTTTGCATATTTGGTCATAACAATCGTGTCATGTGACATATCCACTTTTATAGAATAATATGGATGACATATGGATGAAATATAGCTGACATATGGATGACATATGGATGAAATATAGCTGTGAATATGGATGACATATGGATGAAATATAGCTGACATATGGATGACATATGGATGAAATATAGCTGAAATATGGATGACATATGGATGAAATATAGCTGAAATATGGATGACATATGGATGAAATATAGCTGAAATATGGATGACATATGGATGAAATATAGCTGAAATATGGATGACATATGGATGAAATATAGCTGAAATATGGATGACATATGGATGAAATATAGCTGACATATGGATGACATATGGATGAAATATAGCTGAAATATGGATGACATATGGATGAAATATAGCTGACATATGGATGACATATGGATGAAATATAGCTGAAATATGGATGACATATGGATGTAATATAGCTGAAATATGGATGGCATATGGATGAAATATAGCTGAAATATGGATGACATATGGATGAAATATAGCTGAAATATGGATGACATATGGATGAAATATGGATGACATATGGATGAAATATAGCTGACATATGGATGACATATGGATGAAATATAGCTGAAATATGGATGACATATGGATGAAATATAGCTGAAATATGGTGAATATGCCAACCTTGTCATGTTTAGTCACTAGAGTGGCTGAGGCCACCACCGAACCAGGCCAGGGGCAGACAGGCGAAGACCGAACAGAACCTCGATCACTCGACCCAGATCAACGTGCTGTGTCTGAAAATGTGGTATGCCCACTATGCCCCCAAAATGGCTATTTTAATGGGGAAAATATGGGAAAATATGGGATTTTTTTTTATGAATCATGACAATAAATTAAACCATAGCATTTTGTGGTACCCTATTTTCAGATAAACCCAAATGGCGCGCAGCAAACTGTCAACTGGCCACACTCAGAACCCGACGTGCCAACAAAACTCCACAAAAATCCGTGCCAATACCTCAAGAAAACAGCATGTTTCAACAATTCTGATTTGCTGTTTGATTGTTGCTCAAGGTTCAAAAATGCGTGCATCCGAATAGCTTTTTTCCAGCTACCCAGAGGTTCAACCACTTGGAAACCCAAACTGTTATAAACCCTATTACATCCTATTACCAATTTTTGTCAAATCCACGATCGGTATTTTTGAAGGGATCAGAACTCCCCATATTTGATCTGCAAACCCCTACCAGGCGAGTTTCCGCGGATGCCGCGTGTGCTTGCGGAAGAATTTTCTTTGCTGTGTGGTGTCGTACGGCATCACGAAGTGCCGTTGCACCCATGACCTGGGTATCAACACCCTGCCAAGTTCTGTGACCATCAGGTACAATCTATATATATATATATTATGTATAGTACAGTAAGTAAGATAGTAAGTACAATAAGGATCAAACTGGTCCAACCCCATCTGGGATCATATTTGGTGATCATTTGATTCATCTCGCGGCACACTTGAGCCATACCTAGCCATACCCACACTCACAACTCGCCGTTTTCATTTCAAAACTAAGCGCTTGGCGCCAGGTAAAACTCAAAGAAACCTGCAAGCAGAATAGAACAGAATCTGATCAACTCTGCTAAAATATTGACCAACTGGTGGTTGAGAAACTGCAGAAACCCTGAGGGCCGGCACCTCGCATTGGCGCATCGGGCGCCCGGACTCGGGTCCAGGCCTTGGGGAAGCAAAACTCAGAAAATGGTGAGGAGAGGTGTCAGCAAAACCTGCAAAACTCCTTAATGAAAAGGTCAAGGAGGAACCGCAGCAAAATCATTGTTCTCAATTCATCTCTCTAGCAAGGGCTCTCATTGAGTACCCCAAAAATGGCATGCTTTACTACTGAACATGACCACATGTGTGGTTCCGGATGTCAAACTTTGAATCACACCCATAGCCGCATTCTCCAGTCTGACATCTCATCCCAAGCAGGAAGGTGAGATCTCTGGCAGGTCTGGCCGAACACAACGAGCACCCTGACGACCCGAAGGGGTTTCGTATGCACAAGGACTGCTCCTTCAGGCACCTGTCAGCAGTTGGATGTGTTGGTGACATGGGTTTTACCATTCAGATGCAGAGGATTTAACATATCCAAAGTTAGCGTGTGCAACTTCTGGAGCTCTCCATGCAATGTCGATGTCAACGATTCCCAGCTCCCCCACACTCCCTCGTCGCCAGGCAATTCTAGACGCGTAAAGACCAACACGTTACATGGAACAGAAACACGTACATTGCCAACACAAACATCTTTTTCAAATCCCATTTCTTGGGATTCTAGAATTCCAGAATACAATTTTAGTGTTCCTGCCATTGGGGCCCTTCCCACTTATGAATGGGGCCCACAATCCCAATCAACTCCTAGTTACTCTGCCGTAAACATCCATAAAGTCTCCATTTTTGAACCCATCTCTGCCTGGACCAAGCTGCCTCTGGTCACATCCAAGATCTCCACTTCGTGTCGATCGCTCTGCAGCTGGACCTGGCGTTCCCAAGTTTCCTGGTTGCTTCACCATGCTTCACCATGCCGATATTCGTATTATCCATGTGCGTGTGAAGTGATCTGAACCACTATCGATATATATATATATAGATATATAGATATCAGTGTATACATACATATATATATATATATATAATTGTAATATATATAATTATTAATAGATACATATACTATACTGCACTACTACCATCGTTTCGGGGCCATGCGATCTCAACTCGTCTACCCAGCATCGCAGCATGGCTCGGCCTGGGAAGACTCGAGATCCTCAAGGTACAGCACAGCGATGCCACCTCGGGAAAGCTCGTCACCCAGCACCAGGGACCATCAGGGCCGTCCTGGATCATCCCACACTGCAAAGTTTCACGTGGAATCTTCGAAAATGGGAAGAAAAAAAGGATTTGCAAATTGGTGTTTCATTGCCATGCTTAGCCATGCTTGTGATGGATTGAATTTAAGAATCTCATGGGTACTTATACCATCTTATACCACCCCCCCACACCCCATCTTCAGTAAGACCTTGACAGGGACCTAGTAAGCACTCAGCCCTGGTAAGCACTCAAAACAGCCCTATTCACTCAGTAAGCCTTACTGCGCTTTTGATGTTTTCAAAGAAATTCAGGGTCAAGTCCAACAAAAACCATAGATATTGTGCATTGGCATCCATCGGGGCTTCTGGTGATTATTGGAATGATAAAGAAGATTCCATCAATAAGCCATCAACATATCTTCTGGAGTGATTCTAATGAAGATAAAACATGATAAAATCAAATCATTTTTGTTCATGGCAAAATGATGAATTTGGGAACGAATGACAAAAATTGACCTCAAACGAATGCAATATTTCTGAATGTGTCCATTGTCTTCAGGCTTCCCAGCCCCTACCAAGCGCTTACTGATTGCTTACCCAGAAAATCCACCAAAATCCAGCAAATGTTGAAGGCTTACTGAATGCTTCGGATGCCACGTCACAGGGAATCCACGTCAGTGACGCTTCATGTTTAGACGTTCAAGTTTGAATCATCCAACCACACGAACAAATAGTGAAGTGTGGAAGCTTTTGACTCGAACCTTCGATATGGGAACATGCCTTGATTGGGGTATCTTTTGAACCCTCCAAACATTTGGGTCGTAGTCATGAGTCATGACCTGGCTTTCTTGTTGAAATGCGGAAGTCACCAATTGGATATTATCGTGACAAAACGCATTATGCAAATCACTGCTCTCAGTGGGCTAAAAATAGCCTTCTCTCAATAGGCTTGCTGAGAATGGCCAGGGGGGGTGTAGGGGGGGGGTCTCAGGACCCATGATAATCCACTGATAATCCACTGATGCCCGGGCTGGCGAACTTATGGAATAAGAGTGGAATAAGAGCAGCTACTTCTCCGGTGCTGACTTGGATTTTGCAGGTGAGAAATCTCGGTCATGTCCAAAACCTGGGGGCACCCCATCCACTAATAATTCCAATATACCAAACGGATCAAAAAATGTGTCAGTAGGACGCCGAGGAGTTTGGGCATTTACTCTAGCTTCCTGGCTGTTTGGCCGCATCATGCCGTATCGGTTTGAGGAGCAGACTCCAGAGGCTATGCTCATCTCGAACGGCTCGCACCTTTCAGTGCGGCAGTGAGGCGTCTTCCCCGCAGCTCAATTTCAGTGTCCAAATGTCGGAGGTGCAGACATTTATATAATTTTTTGGCACTTCAAACACCAAGACCAAGTCTGACCAAGTGCATCTCAGCCAAGAGTGGTTGAAGCTGAGAATCACAGATCTTCTGAGGCTTCAACGGCTGTAATGTTGTCAAAGTGCACATCGCCAAGGTGCCTGGAAGCCAGGAGCTCAGCAGTAGCGTTTTTTGAAGTAACACCTGGGTATATGAAGCAACAACGGGGATCGAAAATGCTAAAACCCTTCAAGCTGCAGATATGCAACCAATTGCAACCAGCTCTAATTCCAAGTTAGGACTGGGAGAAACACAAAAACAAAGCGGTCCAAAACGTTTCCATTCCACATATTCCACGCCATCCTGACAATTATCCCCTTAGTCCCTTAGTGATTAAGTCCAGTGTATCCACCAGCCGCGCCTTCTGCTGATTTGCAGCTGCCGCGCCACAAGTTGCTGCATTTTTGCTGCCCCTCTTTCGGCCCAATAGCCACAACCTCAGTGCATCGCAGCTTGAGCTGCTTGGAGGCCCGATGGACTTTGCAAAACTCCCTTGCTCTGTGGTTTCCCTGCGAAACTATGACATCAGATCATATCAAATGACTGGGTGCTGCCACATGAGGTCTTCTGCCCTCTTTGAATGAGGTGTTCAAGTTCTGCTGCTTCTGAATCTGACCGGAATGCCAGGAAGGGATCCCAACAGCAAGAGAAACGAAGCCGAAAAGCATGAAAAAAGCGTTCCAATCTGGGGAAATTTTGAGGGAATCGCAAGCAAAATGGAAGCTTCACCGCTTCTGGGCTGGTTAGCCAGAGGGCATCTCAGAATTGAATCAATTTTCAACGGAACCACCTGACATACTCAGGAGCAGCTTTGAAATGTACACGACTCGACCCTGGGGCCCTGGGCAAGCCTTCACACATGTCAACATCTCAGATTGGGCACGAGGCATGGAGGAGAGCCCAACTAGCATGGTTTCCCCACTAAAATTGAGCATTAACATCATTGACTATATTATATAATATTATATATATAATTTATATAATGTTTTCTGAGTTTTCTATAATCATCCCATCTGGGCAACATGGTTAGGTCAAGTGAAACTCCTGAGGGTTTGGACCGTTTGGAGTACTGTAGAGGGAACACGTGCCACACCCTGCCTGTCACAGCATGTTCAAAAACTCGAACGGTCTCCTGAGGCTCCTGGCACAGTGCTGCTGAAGGATTCACAGTATCACAAAGGTGAAAGGAACAATGGAGGATCCAATGGAGTCAATGAAGGGAACCGGACCATACAAATGAGTCAGATGAGTGTTTATCCATGTTTATCCAGTGTGTACTTCTTGATGAAGCTCCTCAACATACGAGAAAAATAATATTCCGTTTCATGACATGGTGACATGGTGGGTCAATATGGGTCAATCATTTTGATCCACACTCAACTCACCTCAACTGTTGCCGGGCCTCTTGGGGCTCAGGAACTGGTTTCTCCGCTTCAACACCTGTCACGACCGTGCAGAGATCCAAGTAGAGATCCAGAAGCATCTAACGGAGAAGAGATGGGAAGAGTATAGTAGAGACATGTAGAGACATAAAGAAAGAAAAACCAACACTCAGCGTCTTTGCAAGAAAGAAGAAGCGTCTGTCCGAAGACATCCCTTTATCATTCGTTTGACGGCCTTATTGAGCGGGGGGGGCACCTGGTTTGGGGCCCTTGATTCCCAAATGTTTGGGCATACCATGACAGCTATGACATGACCAGTTTTCTCAGCACAGCATGTGCGGCCCCGCCTCTCGCAGTCCAAATCAGTGCCGACAATATGTAGACTAAAAGCGGCCTAAGGCGCCTCAGCGAAATTCAAGCCCTCTTTCTGAGCCTTGTCAGGCATTGATCGGCATTGATACTCTCAGTTTCCAATTGCCTTTTCACAATCAGAGTGTATGATGTGGAACTGGTATGAACTGGTACTCGTATGTACTCGTACTCTCAAATCCTGATTTCTCGCTCCAATTGCAAGGCTGAGCCTTCACCGATTCAAGCTGACTGCTCGCACTGTTCTGTACGAAGATGGAGCCCAAAACCAGCCAGAAATGGAACTGCAAATAGAAGCCCCTTACAGACCCATGGAGGTTCCAAAAAGGTTATCCATACAATAGGGATGCCCAAAAGCCCCGTTTAATGAGAAAAGAATGACAAACACCATGGGACTTGGATTCCAAAATTGTCAGACGGGATGCCCAATTCTCAAGGGGGCTCCGCAGCCGAAACCGTTCCGAAACCTCGTGACTGAGAGCCCCACATACTTCGTGGACTCCGCGCCCACCGCAGAGTTGCAACGGTTTTTGAACCATGAGTTCTGCAGGAAACTTCCTGGATCAACTTCTTGAATCAAAGGAGGATCAAAGGAGGATCAAAGGCCTCGCAATTAGCTCAAGTCACTCAAGTCGAAGAATCTGCTGATGTTCAGTAGCCTCAATTGTTCATGTTTTGTTCAGTAGCCTCAAAGATAAAGATGGCTGAAAGGGCAAGGTTTCTTGTATTACTGTATTGATATACTGAATAATGCAGGATTGTTGATGCGACATGCATTTCGACTTTTTTGACTCCGCAACCTCGAGATCAGCCCATACTTAAATCACTTCCGTGCAAAAGGACAACTGCCTGAATATTCTGAATATATCTGAATTATCAAAGCACCTGAGTCATCCACATCTTCAATGACTTGTGCCATACATTGCACTAGCAGCACTAGCATCTCATGCCCAGCACTTCGCTTGTGACTTTCCACTCTGCCGGGAACCCCCATCACGAATATCAACATGTACCAAGCCCCATCAAAACATCAGCCCCCAGCATAGCACAAGTTCATCTCCCTTCCCTGTGCTGCCACAAAGGCCAGAAAGGCCTTGGCTTCGTTCTCCTTCTCCGGATCCAAGGCACACAGCTGCCTCACCACGGCCTGGCACAGCACCCGGCGCCCATCAGCCGCGCCTGGCGCGTGCCCCGCGGGCGGTGGGATGGCCCTGGAGCCTTCGATCGTCGCCAGGATCTCGGCGGCGCGCTGCAGGACATCGGCGTCCAGCCCCGCCTTGCGGGCGCACTCCAGGCCGAAGCTCTTCTCAGCACAGCCCGGGACCAACTGGTAGAGATACGCAATGGTAGAGGCAGTGGCATCAGATTGCGGTAAAACACGAAGATGGCTCACTTGGAGCTGTGGCTCGGTTTCAGAAACCAAACCCAAGCGGAAGATCTCGGTGAAGTGGGTGGCAACCAAGGCCTTTGGGCCATCCTTCCATCGGCACAGGAACTCAATGGTAGCACCCAGCAACGCCACCCCATCAGCTGCGCGCGTCCCTTTGCCAAACTCATCCAGCAGAACAAGAGACGAAGCCGTCGCATGCTTCAAGGCCAAGGAAAGTTGGCAGAGATCCAAAGTAAAGGATGAACACGTGGCACTGGCAGTTTCACAGCTTTGGATGCGCGAAAACATAAAATCACAGAGCCCCAGCTCGGCTTCATCAGCCGGCACAAAGCAGCCAATCTGCGCCATGTAGGTGATAAGCCCCACTTGCTTCAAATACACTGATTTACCTGGACACGGGGTCATGTCTAGTTTTCACATCCAACAATCAACAGAATAATATGATGCGATATGTAGATCGGTTGATCAAGTTGGGGATATGCGTTATGCCTTCCATCCAACATCCATCGAACAAAGGTGTTTACTGTAGTGTACTGTTGCTCGCCTGAAAGATTGGCACCGGTGATGACCTGAACTCGGTAACTCTCTGCCTCTTCCAGCCCGATTTCGGTGCCTCAGAAGCTGAGAACTAGGCCAACCACGCTATGCCCAAAAGTCAGCAAATATCAACAACCCTTACTCATTCGCCCCCTACCATTGATCCAAGGGGCTGTTGCACACGAATCCATGGTGTGCGGTTGAAGCAGCTTCTACCAGGGGATGTCGACCCTTCACGATGTGCAAACGCTTCACGTCTTCGCTGAGTTTCGGCCTCACCTCGCAGGGACTCCAAGCATTGAAATCTTATGAAACCGTGTACAATAGTGTGTATATATATATATGGTGTATTATATATATATATCATTAGTCTCATATAGTAAACAATATGATACAAACCCAAATTTGGTATGCAACTAGCCGTCGCAAGTCACCAGCCACTCAGCCTATCTTTTGAGCGCAAAGAAAAAAACAACGCACCAACCTTAATGTAGCAGTGACGTGAGTGTTTGTCCGAAATTTCAAACCACAAGACCATTGCTTTCCCGGGTCCGATGCTCCTCAACAACCAACTCTTGAATCATTTCAGGAGTTTGAACCGGTTTTCGTACTCCAATGATTTCTCTACTTGGTGGCCAAGAACTAGTGCCACCAACTCTCCCCCTAAAATCTCCATTCATGGCACCCAGCGATACTTCACGGCCGCCGCGGTGTAGGCCAGCAGCACATCCAGCTCCGCCAGGCGCTGCGCAGCGCAGCGCAGCCGGGGCTCCAGGACCCGCAAACGCTGCAGCAGCTGCGTCAGCAGATCCAGCTCCACGCCCCGGGACTCCACCACCAAATCACCTGAACCATGGTGAACCATGGTGAACCATGGTAGATCTGGGGTTCACCTGGAGATATCATGGATTTAAAAGAAAGAACTGAGAAGATGTAAAGATGTAGAACATATATGATATATATATATAATGATGGAGAATCATTATAGACTATAGACATCTATAATCATCTATAGACTATAGATATTGATGAGTGAATATCAGGTGGATCATTGGGATGACTCCGGGATGACAAACCAAGTAGATCAAATTTGGGAAGTGTTTGGAATGGAAGATTGCACCAAGAAAAATTGTCGAGTGAGTCAGCCAGTTGTAGTCACAGGGCTGAACTAATTGCTGGTGAGATACTCAACTCACTACTGTATTTCATGGGGGCTTTGCCACTCACCAAATTGCCTTGAGGTCTTGGCCGGGGAGTCTTTTGAACATGGGGAGATCAAGTAGGAAATATGCAGAGAAACACCAAGTGCCATGGGTATAACAACTGAAGCAACAAATCTCACCAAAAGCGAGAGAATCACACAAGTTGCAGAAAAGCCAAAGCTTGCAAAAGCGACATTTGTGGATGTTCTATTTCTGATTGTGAGGAAAAATAATCTAATCACCTAATCGCCTCAAGCTGGCTGTCAGAGCCTAATACCTAGACCCTGGAGAGATATACCGCCGGCATGAACAACAAACAGGATATCAAGAAAGGATAGTCGAATAATGACCTGGAGGGGTCGGAATCTAAATGACCGCAGCTGCAGGTACTGACCAAAATGGAATAGAAACAAACAGTATGAAGTCCTGGGACTTATAATCAATCATTGGCAGCCAATTGATGGTCGTAGACTCATGTGATTGTTTTCTCCATCCTCCTTGTGATGAATCGACTGCAAGTCTATATATAAAGCCAGCTTTCTAGCCATCCTTAGCACCTGATGGGTGGAGGGTAGCCATGGTGTGTTCTAGGCACCATCCGATGGGATATCAAATATTGCTCTGATTGCGTAGATTTTGCTGGACGAAACTGCTGCCAATGTTCTGATTCTGAAGCGGTCTGCAAATGGGACCCAAATTGTTTGCAGGATCTTTCTTAGCATCCTTCAGAAAAATCGTTGGGAGTTGGGAACCAAAGTACCCAATATGTTCAGACACCGCCACCAGCAGTATCATCACCAGCATCCTTATCCAAACCATGGTAGTGATTCTGCCCACGGACTTCGCCAAGGCACCTACGTCGCAATCCAAGCGCCTGGCACTGTCGCACTTATAGAAGAGTCTTCCAAAACCTGTGAGGCAAACGCAGACGTCTAATGAGTCTAATGATCAATGGAATGAAGGGGAAAACTTTACAGGAAACTTCAGGAAGCCATGTTTGTTTCTCCATTTCAAATGGCTGCTTCGTGGTCCATCCAAAAGATGCGAAGGTCACCTGCCACTGAATCTGAAAATTTTGGGCGAAACTACAAAATGCCATACCTCTATCATCCGCCATCTACCACAAGGCCATGTGAAGTGCTTTAGCTTTTCACAATCACTTGAAGATCTTGGATTTCAGCGCCTGCAAACTGGTAGCGCCAATCTGATGCAGGTAGAGGAATGTCGTCTTGCAGTCCATCCATCGTTTCAGCTTCCCGCCCAGTCGGATTGGGCAACGAGGCGTGGAAACCTAACCTGAGATCCAAAGCGATGCCACCAGATGTCCACCATGTTGCGGTTCAGTGGATGATGCCCATAGTGATTCCATAGTGTTCAAATCTAAACGTTTGTGGATCATGCAGCAATTTGCAGCCCAGGAACTGAGGAAAGTAGTGAAAAAGAATAGAATCCTCAGTTCAAAATCGCGTTCAATTACAAGATTTTGTTGTAGTAATAAGCCACGATATGGTTCATCATCAAAAGTCACAGATGGCAGAAATGTCCCTCTCAATACCCAAACATAGGCCTATTTGCAGTTTGTTTTTGCTGTAAATCCGATCGAATCTGAGTGAAAGATTTGAGCAAAACAACATGCTCGATGAATCGATGAATGACAAGGATCCACCTGCTGCCCGAGGTTGCCCAAACGACGCGTTTCCGTGGCGGCGGTGCGGGTCAAATGACGGTCAATGGTTTCATACCTCACGCGAGTGGCTCTTCAATCGATGCCCAGTGGAACAACGCTTTGCGTGTCTCAAAAGAAGCTGATAACAGGACCTGTTGCCCTACTATCAAATTGGGGATCGTCGAGGGGGGTCCCAAAATTGGCACGGCTGCGCAGCATATGGGTCGTCCCAGTCGCTCATGGCGCAGGTCATCTAACTTCTGGTCCACACCACTCTGCACATGAACCAAACTTGTATCGCCTCAGAATGGAGCTGGGGGGCATGGGCAACTACCCTTAAAATGCAGAAAGAGACACCCTTAAAATATGTTTACTCGTGTTTACTCTAAAATTGTGTAATGCTTTTTGATTGCAAAAACGATGGTTGGCTGCATGATCTATATGACCTACATACATCAACTTGGTGGTTGCCTGCAAGAATACATCCAATTTCTTTGGATCCCCTCAAATCCGTCCAAATCGCACGTATTGAGTTGTCTATGCCCAAATTGAATAAAATGCATGTCCTAAAGTATCATCAATTGATGTCAGTTGTTGATCATATACCTCAGCTTTAGTTGGCTTGGAAACTCCAATTCTCCAACTTTCTCTGAGTCGCCTTCTGCAAAGTTCTTCTCCCAGTCCACCACACGTTGCAAAAGCCGCTCGGCTGCGCGAACATCGTTCACCACGCCTTGCCCTCGGAGTGGTGAACTCAGCTATTACACCCATGGAACATTCTCCAGTTGGGCAGCAAGATGAGTTCACCAAATCAAGGGGCAGAACCAACCACTGTAATGAACTGTAGTGCAAATGCAGCCAAAAATAGAAATATCAGATCCAGTGAGAAAACATGGGCCAGCTGAAGTAAAACTTTAAAACACAAATCCACTGTCCTGCTGCAAAGGCAGCCACCCCCTTGGTGGTGCATAGCTTGCCTGCCTGCGCAACAGGCTTCCACAGGGACAAAGAAGAGAAGTCCACCATTGGCAGATCTATCATTGACAGGATGTGACAGGGGATCCAACCGCATCATGTTGCATATATACATATACATATACACATTCTACATAGCCTATGGATCAAAACCTATTATTGTTACTACATTTTGAGGAATAAGTTTCCATAAATCCCAACTATGTGGGCTAATCGTAGATCTGGTTACAGATCATCTCAAAGGCCGCATCGCGCACTGGCCTGATCCAGAAGTCCCAAGGCTGCTGACATGTGCCCCAGGGTGGTCACAAGTGAGCGCCAGTCGACCATGTTATCGAAATTGTAACCTTGAGACATCTTGAGACATCTTGAGACACTGGGAAAAAATGGTGAAAAAATGGTGAAAAAATTGGAAAAGTGTCCCTGGAAACATATTGGTTAAACCTTTTTTGAGTGGCCAAAGCTGGTAGAATTCTGAGATAGCTCCGGATTCACACCATTGAGATGGGATGCCTGAAACAGGTGGATTTGCCATGCACTGCAAATGGAGGGTTGGAAAGAAATCACCAAAATGTGAACAGACATTTGCCAATGTCAAATGGCAAGATGTGGCAAGTACCTACCGATTGATTAAACCAACCCCTCAGGTCCAGTCCCAACTGAAAAATCGCCATTCTAGCATCACCTTGCTGATGAGGGACATCGATGCCTCAGATAGGGGTCAGCTCACATCCCCGAAACTGCAACACCCGAATCAGGTCTCTGTGCTTTTCTACTGGACAACTGGATAGCCCTCTGAAAACCTAGATAGCCCTCTGAAAACCTACATGAAACCCTGAGTAAATATGGTTTTCCATGAGTTTTCCTGTTGGACATGGTAACATTGGGATCTCATGTTTATTTTCTGGGAATATATACTTTCGCTCACAGGCTAAAATCTGTCTACTGAGGGTTTAAGTCAATTTGTTGGATCAGACTTGTGCAAGCAGGATTGATTTCGTTCTCCACTCGCACTACATCCTGGAAATGAAAATGAAGCATGACTTCAAAATGAGACATGACCTTAACTCCCAGTGAACTCTAATCGTCATCCTGAGTCATCCTGCAATTTCTACCAAAAACGGGCGGTTTTTTACTGCAACACCAGGTGACATGCGCGCCAGTAGCCGTGGGAGGTCCTGCATCATTCGGAGCTCGCGGTGAAGCTGGCGAACCTGGCTCCGCCGTCCGCCACGACGAGATCAGGTCCGATTTCTGGGGAAAGTTGGCACGTGGAAATCGATGTGCTACAGTATGTACTGTGTATGCTCTGAATGTTTTTACGTACATATATAATATATATATATAATAACTTATATAATACATATATATATAGCCTATAGCATGTATCACATATCACATTCTATCATGAACATGTACTACAGTATATTTTCTTACATGTATACATTGCATGTATCTTTTCTACGCCCAGGGACCAGCTCGGCCCCGGCGCCCTGCAGCAACGAGATCAGCTGCTCCACGGCACTGTGCCGCTGCTGCAGCAGCTCCACCTGGCGGCCTCGGCCATGCCCCTCGGCCGTGTTGGAATGGGGGAAGAGTTTCCCAGCCAAAATGGATCAAAACGCTGCATTTCATGTGGCTTGGTGTGGTTTAGATTGTGGTTTAATGTGGCTTAGTGTGGTTTAGATTGGTTTAGTGTGGTTTGATGTGGTAAATATGGATGGTTTAGTCTTTTTTCCACCTACGTTTCATTGACTTTCCCAAAGTTGTGGGAATGATCATGAAAAGTAAGCCTCTAAATAACACCGGCCAAGATCTCCTTAAAATCTGGCTGGAAAAAAGAATGGAAGAAAATACCATCACAACCACTCAAAATCTTTCAAATTTGGGTTGTATCTGCATGCACAAGATGATCTTGTCAAATTGTCCCAACTTGTGCACTGGATGTCAGTGATCCAATTCTTCAATACGAGTCATCTTGAGTCATCTCTATGTACATAATTCATCTCTAGCAGACAGCATGAAATGGATATCCATTATATAAATGTACTCAAATCATCAAACCAGAATTCCATGGGCTTCCAAAATCCAACCTCTGAACTCTCTGAAGTTCCAAGGCTTCCAAGGTGCTGGGCTGTTGCAACCAACGTCTCAGCTGCTTGGCACCCGACGGGGAGGCCACCAGGGGCTCCAGGAGGCTCCACAACGAGAGGCCTTCAGAAGGCCTATTGCTGGCCCTCATCAACAGGTTGTGCTGCTCCTGAGTCCCATGGCATTGGCATCCATGACATCCATGACATCCATGACATCCATGGCGGATGGGTTAGGTCTTACTTAATCTGACTTATACTTTGGAAGATCATCACTTGGTGGGTTTAGGTGTCCCGTCTTTGAAGATATGACTCATATGATCTCATATGACCATATGGGTCGTCGAGAAAATCCTAGAATGATGCCGGTGTTGAACAAATTCTATTTGCACATCAGTGAACATACCCCACAGTTAACCCATACCGATACCTTACAAGACACAACTTGGACTTGGATCTCAAGGGCTTGGATCTGCTTCAAATAAGGGAGCAACAAAGGGCCTTTAGCGGAGCGATCCAATTGATCCAATAGCCAAAGACTCCGAGATCCAACTTGGGAACATGGCTAGTATCGGTAGTATGTACCAAAGATATCCAAAGATGTTGTGCCTTGAAAAGCAAGAAAACATAAGAAAACAATAGGAATTGTAAACATTGTAAAGCGGGGAAGCTCCACACTTCGCCACCTTGTTGAAGGACTAGCCCTAGGGTCCTGGAAAATCTGAAGCGCGATCATGGTCTGGGTATCGACAAACACAGCATCATCCGGTGAGAAAATGCGAATGTCCTCCAAACAACCAAAAGGTCAAATCAGACATAGTGCAACAATGTGCAACATGCATTCACCTTCGCTACATTTCATTATATTTCTTTAATCTCTGCAACTGAGAGCTGTCCTGGACACACGGCCCTTGCCATCGGCCCTGCAAATCCCCCAGCAGAGTCGCATTCTGCTCAAGGAAGCGCAATAGACCGCCAGCCGCACGAAGCAACTGCTCATTTCCATCCAAAGCTGCCAGCGGACTGCTGCGAGGGGTTGTGCCTCAAAAGCAAAGGTTTGGAGCTAAGGAACCCAAGAAACATGTTGACATCAAACACTGAGTAACTTGTGCAATTGTTCATGTCTATTAGACATGATTAGACTATTATTCTCTTTCCTCTTCAACGATGTCACCATGTCACAACGTCCACAACCACTGCAGTTCTACTGTGCATGTCTGCATTTTTTGCATTTGATATACTTGACTAAGGTCACTTGGTCACGCCATGTTGCATGGCAAATCCTGGTCAAGCTTTGCCCACAGCTGCGCCAGTCGCGGCTTTGCTCCTTCCACAGCAAAATCGCCAGCCTTCAGCAAGGTAGTGGGGAAGGGCTCGTTCCCATCATCATCCTGCCAAGGGCTTCAGGCAATGTCTGGCACCATGCACCACCATCCACCACAAGAGTGATCAACCTTTGACATTGACATAAACAGTTGACAATGATTGGCTAAGCACCGCTCAAGAACCACAACTTTGAACAATTGTAACAAGTGTAACAAGTGAGCATCAACCCATCATGAACTTATTAAAACCTATCTGATTCCAATTCTGACTCTTGATGCTACAAGAATTTGATCCGCTACTCCCAGACCGCCCAGCACATCCCCCACCTGAGTCAGGGGCCGTGCCGCCGTCTCCACCAACTCCGCCGGCGACCGCGAGGGCAACACGCACAGCCCCTGCCGTGGTGCCGACACGGCGCCCAAGTGCCGCTGGCCCAGGATCTGCTGCTTCAGACCTTGCTGAGGCGTAGAAACCTTTTTGCCTTTTTGGAAACCTCAACCTCTGCTGAACCTCCACTGAGCTTGGTGATTTTCTGAGTTCAAAATGTTCAAACCATCTCAAAAAAATATGAAGGTCGATTTCTAATCATTAGATCATCATCTCGCACGATTTATGTGTTCAAACCAACCTGTGGCGCGAGATATTGGGTGACTCGACTCCAGTTCTTTCACTTGACTCCCGCTGCAAGCGCAACACATCGCGAAATGGTGAGGCATGGAAATTGGGAAGGAAATGTGCCAAGATGCAACTACATTACTTCGACTTGGCAGCGCAATAAAAGGCAACAAATGATGTGCAATCAAACCAAGAAAAAACCTGTCCTATTCTGGCAGGTTGTGTTTGAATCACCGGTTCAAGTTTGTCTCAATCTGCAGTTGTGCCGCGCTCCAACTGAGTAAAGTCGGGATCCATCACGTCCGCCACACATAGCACCCGCTCTGCATCTTCCAAATCCACATAGGCAATGCCACAGCGTCCAGCTTTTCCAGCACAAACGGCAAAGATCACCGAGAGATCTGCGAAGCTCGCAGGGTCCTCAGGTTCTTCCATCACTGCATCCTCCATGGCCATGGCTCGAAACAAAAATCTTCCGGCCGCGCCTTGAGAAAAACTCCGGGAGCTGACTTGGAAATGAACTGAGCTCAGCCCACAAACACAAAACAAAGCACAACCAAAACTCAAAATGTCCAGACTTCATTGGACATCGTGATCATCATGCCTTTTTTGACTCGGGGTCTACTTCTGACTCGCTAAAACCTGGGATGGCCTTTCCCTGAGAAGTCACCATGTCTGCCTGTTTCATGCAATATATTTTGTTAATCAAAATTCTAGCAAAACACTGCAGATTCAGTTGCAGGTCATCCAGAGTGACAAGGCAAACGTTGGCCCTGCACTGAGTGAAACAGAACAAAAGGTGAGTTCTTTAGGTTCCACTTGACGACTGTTGGGATATAGGAAGGGCTGTCGGCCCAAAGTTGTGTGTAGTAAACCCAAAGAAAATATGAGGGGGTCCAGGAATCGTGAAAACGGTGAAAGAAAGTGTCAACCAAACTGGTGTGGTTCTTTGGGAGTTTATCCCCAATTTTCGGATACCCGGATATCCGAATACATCTAAAATGAAAATGTCCATATGTTCAGTGGATTTCAGTGGATGTTTGCCTTGACCGGACCATACCGGACCTAATAAGAGCTTCACCGGGTGGGCTCAGGTACATCTACTGCAATGTACTTATTCTTATCCGTCACTGAAGGATTCACCGCCTCGTGAAACGACGTCGCAGCTGGGGTTTTCAGGTGGTTCCAGGGGTCAAAATTCGGAAAGTGAATTCTGCACGGAAAAAAAAAAACACAGATTCCGGGGGTTCCCAAGTTTTAATCCATACTTTTGGATGCAACCACCTCCCCTTGGTTCCTAAGTTTTGGGAGGTTGAACAATGAAAAGATCAAGACACCGTTTTACACGTTGCTGCCAAAAAAAAGTATCCAGATCAGAAAGTCTGATTTTTCATGGTTTGTGTTATTATTTGGCAACCCTGAAAGAATACATATAAGATCATGTAATACTATGTCTGTCAAACCAAGGCTTGCCCAGTTCCAAACAGTTTCATGCTGCGCTAATTCAAATTGTCAAGCTGGTTGGCTATCCAGCACTGGAAAAATTGTCATTTGGCATCCTTGCCGCAGAATATGATTCTCATGCCACAAAAGATGGTAGCAGTGTCTATTGTAAGGCCGTTCGAAAATGGATGTTCAGCCACCACTCAGCCACCACTGGTAGAGTGGCTGAGTGGCTACGCGCAAAAACTCCACCCGTACGTGTTCAATCTAATGTAAGCCTTAATTTCCAAGTTTCCAAGTTAGTTTCCGTTGCCATATCTGCTTACAAGAGGGTAACCACCTCCAGTGCCCCAAGCTTTGAGATGGCGGCATGATGCTGCGTCAACAAACCACAGGTGGTTAAGGCCAGCTTTTCCTGCGACCAGAGCAGTGTGCATTGTACATAACCCTGCAGTAACCTTCTGGCCACCAAAGAGATGGACTGCACATCCCAAAAAATGAAATTGTGGGTGTTCCAGACGGCGGAGGAAACATCCCCAAAGACCAGAGGCATCCATATTCATCCATGCGCTCTTCCTTGGGAACTCTAGACGCGAAAGTCTCCTCTGTGCCAGGCCCAAAGTTCTGCCAATACCTCAGCTACTCGCGGAGTCAAAAATCGAATGCATCAGAAACCCCACCAGGATTTTCTGTACATGAAATTCATGAAGTTAGTAGGCAAGACCTGGTTTTCTGAGCACCTCCACTTCTCATGTTCAAAAAACCAGACGGCCCTGGCTCAATCTCCCTGGATGTTTCATCCTTGGCTTCCAGGCTCCCCGAAGATGCCATGGGAATCCGCAGGGTTGAGCTCACCAACCGTGAAGCCCATACCTGGTGCACTGATCAGCTTTGAAAGTTAACACTTTCACCAATATAGCCCTGGCCCGAGATCTTTCCAGAAGTAGGGCCGTTGACGACTGATCTCTCGGGTGTTCCTAGTACACATGTCCCCTTCCCCATACCTTCGCCTGCCTGGGGATGCTGGCACGAGATTTGCCGGGGTCTTTCGCTCTTTGCGCAGCTTGGGCGATTTGACGGAGGTGCATTTGCTTGGTTCCACCCACACCATGGTGTTTACCCATTCAGTTCCCAATGGAATCTTCACGGTCTATGAGGCCCTGGTGAGTGAAACAGAACCCATTTTCCTTTGCTTGGATTCAAGGTCCATCGTTGTCCCTTATGAGCCACCAATTGGATTCACCCCCAAGATCAAGGAAGTTTGTGCTGGGATGGGGGGAATTGGACTGGGCTGCATGATGGCCCATGGCACGATCATTGCAGCGCTTGACTGTTCTCCACTGGCATGTGAGCACTTGCGCATCAACCAGCATGGCTTGGTGCTCTGTAGAGATCTTTGTGACGATCAGGCAAAAGGTGAATTACACGTTCTTGGTGGCCATGCTTCAACTTTGGTGGCAGGATTTCCCTGTCAGCCGCATAGTGTCCAGGGGTTCCAACGTGGATCAGCCGATCCTCGACACCGTGTGCTCACGGAGATTTTGCGCACCGCATACTTGCACATGGTTCAGTGTCTCATTCTTGAATGCACCCCACAAGCCCAATATGATTGTGGAGTTAGACAAGAGTTGGAATCCATTGCGCAGTTCATGGGATGGACTATTCATGACATCACGCTCGCACTCAGCCATCAATGGCCCTGTCGCAGGCATCGATGGTGGGTCCTGCTTTGCCCTGCCGAGTGGCGAACCGCGTCATTGCAAAAGTGGCCCATTGCCGAGAGATTCCAGACGGTGGATTCCATCATGCCGGGCTGGGGGCTTTGGAGTCATGACCACGAGCAACAACTGCAACTGAGCATCAAAGAACTTCGTTTTTACTCAGATCCAACATATGGTGATGACCAACGCATTTTGGGCATGAAGGACATGGCTGCGACTTTTTTGCATAGCTATGGCTCGGCTCTTGAAAAGTGCCCATGTGGATGTAGGGATTCACCTTTTTCTGAACAAGTTCTTCGTGAGAAAGGTTTACGAGGTTGCTTTGTTGTTTCTAGAGCACATGGACAACCACGATACTTGCACCCCATGGAGCTCTTTGCATTGCATGGCATTCCACTCACGGTGTCCCATCTTCCAGATCTCCGGGCTGCCCTATGTCTCGTGGGACAGTTGGCTTCCCCACTACAAGCTCTATGGATTTTCTCCTGTCTCAATTCATTGGCAGCGGGACACGATGATGTGCAGATGCTGGCTCTTGCCAATGACAGGCTTCAACAGGTGAAAAGGCAAATGATTAGGGATCACTTTCATGCCTTTCGGCACACGGATGATATCCCGAGACAACTATCTGTTGTGCTTCCTGATGGGGATCACATTTTCATCTTGGCATCGGGATCCACCACTGTGGCCCAATTGCTCAGAGCAGAGTCCATCACGTTGGCACATGGCGAAATGCTTCATCTATGCGATGGTCCTCGTACTCTGCCAGACGACCAGATCCTCTTGGAGCAAGGAGCCTATGGCCCATACTGCATCCAAGTCACTCAAGGAGTCGATCTTGAAGACCCCTTTGCTCAATTTGCAGTGGTATTCGAGTACGATGGTGACACCCACTCAGCTACCTTGAGACCAGGAGCTTTTCTTTTTCAAGTCATGCAACAATGCGATGTCACCGGCATCAGCCACTTTGAGGACGAGCATGGCAAGTACTATGGTCTGGATTACAAAGTATGGGGCAGTCTCAGTCTCAGAGCTCACTCTTCTCCACTGACCACTTCGGCACACATGGCTCTTGGACTTGAAGCCGCCAACCAACATGGCCTTACTGATATGACCATTTGGACAGCACTGGTCAGCATCTGCAGAAGCAGCTATGGACCTCACGATGAGCCACCTCTGATGATCACTCCATCGATGGCTAGTGCTTTGCTTGCTGGTACCGCCACTGGATTTCAGTGCGATGGACTTCGTGCACTGTACCGGGCAAGCAACGGGAGCATCTACTGCATTTTCTCCACAGACAACCACTGGGTCTTGCTTTGTGCCCTTCAAGAGGACCGGAAGTTGACTTGGACTTATTTCGATGGATTTCGAGCTTCGGTTCTCGCAGCAGCATCGAGCTTGGCTTGGACTTTGAGCTCTTTGCTGCAACTTCAAGCTGACCCTGTGGAACCATTCAGTCTGCAACCACAGACATATCCACATACTTGCGGTACTGTGGCCATCATGCACCTTTGTTTAGCGATTGGACTTGAAGGGCATTTTGCTCCAGAAGCTGAACTCCACCTCCACAATTTGCTGCTGCAACATCAAGCTGCAAAAGTTCCCTTCCGGCCTTTGGGAAGATCGGCGGACCTTGCTGAAAGATTGGCCACTTTCCTCGTCGACAAGGGGGTGCCACAAGAAGCTGCCTCTTCAAGGGCGACCGATGCCATCAAGATCCTGGGAGCACAATCCATTGCTGAGGCGCTTCAAACCTCCAACCCATGGGCCGCACTCAAAGGCCTAGCCTCTCGACCCAACTCTCGATTTCGATGGGTCCAAGAACAAGAACTGAAAGCACACATAGCTCAACAAGCTAGGACCAAACATGGAGCTCACGTTCCCAAAGCCAAGCAGAAGAAGCAAGGAGCCACCGGCCACAAGGACATTGCGCCGATTGATCCTGCTACGCTGCAGCTGATCCCAGACACTTTCGTTGACGGTGATGGAGATGAACTGGAGCAAATTCCTTTTGCTGCAGTTGGCCAAGACGCAACTGGTCTGGCTTTTTGCACCTACCAGGAGGCAAAACCTTTCATCGAAGCGGCTGAGAACATTAGCTCCACCACGCTTGGACTGCTGATCAACTCGGAGATCCCTATGGACTTTTGGGGAGGAGCAAACATTGTCCATCTTTGTTTCCCGGCACTTTGCACAGTGACTGATGAACCTTTGCTTCTTCGTGGATCACTGCTGACTCTCAGTGATGGGGCAATCAGTCGCAAGGAACACACATCTCCACAGCTTGAGGTCATGGACACTGAGATTCTCAAGATCCAGGTGTGCCAGGATGAGATTCAACTTCCATGGCAGCAATTGACTGATGGCCCTGTGAAGGCTTTGCTCCAATTGGTGCCCCAACTACGCCTATGTGGTGGCCGGCAGTGTGGCAAAGACTGTGCCTTTTTCCATGCCCCCGTGGGTGAGTCTCTGCAAAGTGTCATCATGGACATTTGGGCTCGGAGCTTCTACAATCAGCAAGGCAAGACCACCAAGCCAGAGCATGCACACTACTTCCAAGTGATGCTGCGGATTCCACAAGTGGCATTGGATTTTGTGCTACGAGTGGGAGCCCATGGGGTCTACATTGAGCCTCGCTCTTCTACCAGCAAGGGCCCACACCACGACTACAGCGTCATCTGGCTGGCTGGCCATGATCGTGACCAAGCGTTGCACAAGCTCCGCACCTGCACCCACGGGTTTGCCCTTGCCAGACTGCACCAGCGATACGGCATCAGAGTGGCCAAGCAATTTGAGAAACAATCTCATGAAGAACTACGACCAGATGATGAGTATCTGGACATCGCTGTCCGTCAGATCTACACCATCTTTCCGGTCCCTTATGGGTTGCAGAGATCACAGGTGGTGAAATTGTTGGCGGCATGGAAATGGGCAGCAAAACCATTGCAGCCCACCAAAGGCAATCTGCAGGGGCAAGGTTGGACCGTGGGGGCGGAAGCCCCACCGCCAAACAAAGTGCTTCCAGGTTTTGGCCAGGACGTCCTCATCACCCTTCAAAAGGAGATGACATCACAGCCAGTCCAAAGATCCTTGGTGGCCTCAAACCGAACCAAGCGCTTTTTGAAAGAGGGCTCAGTCGCGAACATTAGCTCTTCTGCTACAGATCCTTGGCATATTGGCAACGGAGATCCATGGTCTTCTTGGCAACGATCTTCCAACAGTGCCATTGCAGCACCATCCGCTTCCACTTCTCGATTCTCGCAGATCCAAGACTCCATCAGGGATGAGATCCAGAAACAGGTCTCCAAAGCTCCACCTGGCCTGACGCCTCCTGATGAGATCAAGCGCTTGGAGGTCAACATCGCTGAGCTCCAAGCACAAGGGACTCAATTTCAACATTGGTTCCAAGAAGCAGGACATCGTATGAACAGCACCGAAGCCCAACTTGGTCAACTTCGACAAGTTGTTGAGCAACAAGGTCAAAAAGTCACTGCACAGATCGCAGAAATACAGCAGGAGGTGGACAACAAGACCCAGATCTTGCAGAGCACTTTGCAAGGTTCAGTTGCGGCCATGACCAATGACTTGTCCAATGCCTTGGACAACAAGCTTAGCTCTCAGTTTGATCGCTTTGAGGCCATGTTGGCTAAGCGATCCAGAAGTGAATGACTATGTCAGCCGCGCTGTCAGTTCGCCAAACCTGGCAGGCGCGTCAGAACAAGATGGCAATTCTTTTTGCTTTGGCTCCTCATGCCTTGGGTGTGGGCAGATGGGCTCCAATATCATGCGGTTGACACTTTGTCATGCAGTTCATCAGCTACATCTTCTTTAGATGCTGACTTTGTTCCTTGTTGTTCCCAAGACCTTCGGATTGGTGAGGCCGACAACCCTGGACCGGTCGATCAGTTTGAGAATTTGGAGATGGATTCCTATGCTCCCGCTACCACCTCTTTTGTGAGGATTGGGTGTTCCAATGCTTGTGGCCTACGCGGCAAAGAAAGTCTGGCCCTGCAGCTTGGGAGCGGAATCTGGTGCCTTTCTGAAACTCATCTCACTTTGGCTGCGCAAAGATCTGTTAGTTCCACCTTTTCACAGTTTGGGCAGAGACTGAATAGAAGGGTACGGACCCATTTTGGTGCACCTGTTGCCTTTCGCAGCAACTCAACTACGGCCGGCACTTGGAGTGGAGTGGGGGTGATCAGTGACTTCCCTTCTAGAGAAGTCATGCTGGCAATGCAACATGGAGAGCGATCCTCAGGCCGACTGGTCGTCACTCGGCATTTGGTTCATCAACTTCCAGTCATGGTTGCCTCTTGTTACGGTTTTCCTCAAGGTCCGACATGGCCTGACAGCCGCAACCTGAACAAGCAACTTCTGGCCAGTCTGACCAAAGAAGTTATCGTTGGAGGAGCTGGACCCAGAATCATCGCTGGTGATTTCAATTGCGATGCTGGACGGATGGATGAGTTCCGGATCTGGGAGAGCTACGGATGGTCAGAAGTGCAAGTTCACGCCAACATGTGTTGGCAGCGACCCATTGTTCCTACCTGTAAAGGAGCCACAGTGATCGACATGATATGGATGTCCCCAGAAGCTGCTCTCCTTTGCAGAAATGTTGGCAACGTGAATTTGTTCACCGATCACACTACGTTGTATGCTGACTTTGCCATCCCGGAGCAAGCCGTGAACATCCGCACATGGCCCAAGCCCACCTCTATTCCATGGGACCAGGTTGACTTAGACCAATGGCATACCAATTTGGCTCATCAAACGCCACCTGTGTCGGCTGACTTTTCAACCACAGAGTTCTTTACCGAGTGGGCTCAGCATTGGGAATCAGCCCTGGATGGATGCATGCTTAACCATCCACAACGTCGCCTTGACAAGACCTATAGAGGTAGGGCTATTCGCACTAAGCCCATGTTGGCACCTTCTGTGCCACCTATGGCCAAAGCTTCTCGCCCTGGAGAAGTTCAACTGCGTTCGGACCTGGTTTCCTCTCAAGTTCAACAATGGTTCAAACAGCTCCGGAGGATCCAAAGCTACAAGCATGCTGCTTTGGCCAACAAAGACACGTTGGATGCTGAGGCATATCGCCTCAACCTATGGATGGCCATTCGAAGAAGCAGAGGATTTGAAGGGCATTTTGATGCATGGTGGACACAGAGACGGCACAAAACCCCTGCTGCTCCAGATAAGCTCCCACTTGCTCCACCGGACGGGAGGACCGCAGAGTTGATCTTCTTGGACTTTAAGACCAACTTCGAAGCCTTCGAACGGTGGCACATCAGACAGCGGCGCAAGCTTCTGCAATTGAAGTACGACAACAGCTGCCATCGTTTGTTTCAAGAGCTACGGCCCTCCCAGCGTGATCAGATTGACATGCTATGGCACACGCAAGATTTCACCATTCTTGCGGTTGACCATGATCACTGCCAATTACACCTGGATCAACCAGCCCTTGGACTTGATGGCTGTGTTTGGTTTTTGCATGATGTCCAAGTTGAAGTACGGTCAGCAGAGGGTGATCTTCTTACCATGAGTTCTTCGCCACAGACGGTGGAACCAGGTGATCTTTTGCAATGCCATCAATACTTTTCCACCGTGGATGAGGTGCACCAAGCCCTTTTGGCGCTTTGGCAACCTAGATGGCAGCAAGCCAGCATGGTTGGCACAGAGCAATGGAATCGCATCATAGGCTTCATACAGGCCTACATGCCAAAACACACATTTCCCAAACCTCAGCTGACTCTGGACAATTGGCGGTTTGCACTCGATCATTTTCCCAAACGTCCGGCAAGAGGGGTAGATGGCATTGATGTTTGTGATTTGAAGAAGCTGCCTCCAACCATTACCGCCAACCTTTTGGACTTTTTGGGTAGTATCAATGGCACTGACCAACATTGGCCGCAACAACTGCTTTTTGGAACAGTAGTCAGTTTGGCTAAACAAGCACAACCACATTTGCCCAACCACTTTCGACCAGTGGTGATTTTGGGCACGGTGTATCGTACGTGGTCACGAATGTGTGCGCTGCCATTGCTTCGGCTTTTTGGCTCACTGGTCCCAGCGGCCGCCCATGGTTTCCTGCCAGGACGTGAATGTGCCCAAATATGGCTTCAACTGCAGAGCTTCATTGAAGTTTGCATTCAACAAGGCATTGAGTTTTCCGGCTTTAGCACTGACATTGAGAAGTGTTTCAACAATGTTGGACGGGATTCTCTCATGGCATTGGCCTCGCATGTGGGAATTGCTGATGAGCTTTTGCTGCCATGGAGGTCTTTCTTGGATGAGTTTGTACGCTCCTTTCAGGTGCGCACGGCACTTAGTCCTGCTGCTCATAGCAGTCAAGGCCTACCGGAAGGATGTAGTTTGTCAGTTGCTGGAATGGTTTTGATAGATTGGGCTTTTCACATTTACCTGGCCGTGCTGAACCCTTCTGTCCATGCTTTTTCCTATGTAGACAATGTTTCTGAAGCCGGGCATCTGGTGATGGATGTGGTCAAGGCCTTCTTTTCTACCATTTGCTTTTTCCAACTTTGGGGACTGACCCTTGACGTGGGCAAAACCTATTTTTGGAGTACGACACCCGCTTCAAGAGACTTGCTGCGTCTTTTGGGTTTGACTCAACAGAAGGAAGCCTTGGAACTTGGGGGAAGCATGACTTTTGATGCCATGCGGCGCAATAGGCAATTGCGTAGCAGAGGTGACCGCCTCCAAGACAAATGGGAGCGACTTCGGCGCAGCCCGTGTCCTTTGTCTCAGAAGTTCACCGTGCTGCCCCTGGCTTTTTGGGCCTCCGCTTTGTATGGGGCGGCATCATGCCCGGTGGCCGACAACTACATCCATCAGTTGCGACAGGCGGCCAATAAGGCGCTACGTTGTAAACAAGCTGGATCCAATGCACTGTTGAGATTTTCACTGAATGATCGCATGGAAGCTGACCCGGGCTTTTTTCACCTGGTCACCATTGTTCAGACATTTCGACGAGTTTGTGGGCGTTCTCCTAGGATTCTGGACTGTTGGCGACTTTGGTGGCATTCCTATGACGGGAAACTTACTCATGGACCATTTGGAGTTTTGATGGAAATTTTCAACAAGATTGGATGGAGCATAGGTGTCCCACCTATGTTTTTTGATCGACAAGGGCATGCGCATGACCTGCTTTTGATTTCTTGGCCTTTTCTGCATCATTTGCTTGAAGAAGCGTGGCTTTGTTATGTGGCTTCGACATTGACGCGCCCTTCAATGCGCGCACTGCAGGACATTGATGGCTATGTTTCTCGCTGGCGCAATAGCTCTTTGACTCCCCTTCAGCGATCATTGCAGTCGGCCTTACAATCGGGCTCTTTCATGGATGCGTGGACACAAGGCAAGTTTGACGTTACCAAATCTCAATTTTGTTCTCTTTGTTCCACCCCCAACTCACATGAACATGTTTTGGTGTGCCCCAAATATCGGGACATCATAGAGAAGTTTTCACTCACTGATGAGCTATCGCAACTGCCACGGGCTTTTTCGCAGCACTTGCTTTGCTCGCGCTCACCCTGGTTGGATGGTCTCCGGACTTACTTCATGGGCATTGAGGACTCCACCGAGACCTTTGTCTCGGCACCTGTGGACGGTGGTCTTCAACACCTCTTTACGGATGGGAGCCTCATGAAAGATGGAAGACTGGAGACACATAGGGCGGCATGGGCTCTCTACAATGCTACGAGTGGCCAACCGGTGGCTGATGGATGGCTGGCGGGCCTTCCGCAAACCATTGTTCGTGCCGAGATTACGGCGCTTCTGGCGGCTCTTCGTTGGGCACTACATTGGGGGCGCCAGGTGCACGTTTGGCTGGACGCATTGGAAGTACACCGTGCTTTTCAACGCCGACTGGCTGGACTTTGCACAGAGATGACGGACGCCAATAGCGATTTGTGGATGGAGGTGGACTCTCTGCTGCAACAAGGGGCCTTGGCGATGGTCACCTCATCCTGGATACCTTCACACCTCAACCAGAGGCTTTGTGAATCACCCTTTGAAGAATGGGTTGCCCAGAACAATGGCATAGTTGACGCAATGGCAGTCAGACGAAATGCGGATCGACCCATGGAGTTCCGACAGCTTTTGACCTGTCAAAAACAATGGGATGAACGCCACACCAGTTTGATGGATAGGCTTCGTCACTTTTACTTTGAAGTTTTCGAGCGCAACAAGGAAGCTCGATCGAAGGCCAACATCCACATCATGGTGGAATCTAGCGATGATGAGAGTGAGAGTCGGCTGTACAGTTTTGTTGACAATTTTACTGCTGGAATAGACCCTGACCATTTTGTACAAACATTAGGGTATCCAGTTGCATTTCTTGATTCTTTGATGCAGTGGCTTAGAACACATGAGGATGATGGTTTGGTTGCGGCTCCCATCAGTTTTCTTGAGCTCACGGTTGGTTTGTTGAAAGTCTCTCCGGTGCTGTTTCCTTTCCGGAACCCCATGGATGGAGGCTGGCAGCTCAGAGACAGACACACATTGTTCGAAAGACCCACTGTATCGTATTTTTACAGTGTCATTCAGAAAGTATTCAGATACTTATGTCGACACTGTTGCGAGGGTGAGCCAAGATGTCTCGGACTGAACAGGTCCTCACTTGGCATTACCATTCCATTAGAGGGAATTTATTTGAGGCTTAACCATCGTACGATGGCAACTGTGCATGATTGCCTCTGCCTTTTCACCTCAGGCAGGCCAGTTCGTCGCTCCTGCGACCTGGCTCGTCCTTTAGCATGAGACCAGAGACATGCTCTTTTCGGCACTGCGGCTGCTGCTGCTGTGCCAAGGGAGCTTGGGAAGTTGTCCGCAGTAACACTTTCACCAATATTCACCAAGATTCACCAATATTCACCAATCTATCATGGGGGAGACCAATTCTTCAGACCTCCGCAATTCGGGAATATTCGGGAATTTATCAGACGGTGACCATTCCGAACAGCTAGCATGCCAGATCATGCCAGCAAGCAACCAGCAGCTGCCACTGCGATGGCGTGCATGTCCTGCATGAGATTGGGGTAGCTTGGCAAAATGGCGGTCTTCTCAAACATTGAGAACTCGCAAGACTTCAAGACCCGAAGTTCCTCTAAAGTGCGAAAGCGGATCGTGTTTGCTTGAGCCATCTTTAGCCGCTCAGTCCCTGAATGTTGCACTGCTTCAACAAAATCAGCTGGTTTCGGACAATCCGACCTGGTCCATCAACAGAACTGGAACGGTGCCCTGGTAGCCACTGTCTTCACGACTGAAAATCTTCTCATAGACGTCGTAGTTGTCGTTCTGATAGAACACGGGCCTCGGCCACTTTCAGGGATTCTCCATCTGGTTGGGGGTGATAAATCCTCTGTCTGATGGAAGCAATGTGGTGTATCTTAGTCTTATACTCCAAAAAGGAAGAAAGACCGAAAGACCATCATTCCTCGATGATTCCCATGTGGTGATTCTCCCCCCTGTGTGTTGATTCCCTCGATGACACCCACCATTGGGTTTCTTCATGGCCATGGCCACACCAAACATTTCGCTGAGACCGCTGAGGCCGCTGAGGCTGCTGAGGTACAAGGAAAGCACCACAAGGCAAATGTTTTTGAACTGCTCCTCCTCCAAGACTTTCTGCATCGCCATAGCCTTGGAGCAGAAATCCAGAGGTTGCGAATTTTGCTGTATTCAGCGGTATTGAGTTTCAATCAAAACTGCAACACAAGAAATCTGCAAGACTTATGGACCACTTATGGATAAAACATAAAACATTATAAAACATGATGAAATGTTGCTCATTCTGAGTATTTCAAGATATTTCAAGATATTTCCACATAGTTCAAGCCTCCCACAACCCTTCCACGGCTTTTCGCCCAGCGGCCGAGAGCTGGCGCACATTGTTGCCAATGCCGAGGGCGTCACCGGCAAAGACGCCCAGCCCTAGGCCCACCTCCACCACCACCTGGATTCCTGGCGAACAGAAAGCCGGAGTAAACAGCTTCCCTGGAGTTCTTTGAAATACAATGATACATTTATATTATAGAAATATTCTATAATTATATATATATATATATTATATCATATTGCATTGTATTATATTGTATTATATATACAATTAGAACTCCAATCCATACCATGAGTACCATAGCCGAGTTTGAAGAAACTAAACCATTCACAGCTTCGAGATTTCTGTGGGTCCAGATTGTCGATCTACATCTCTCAAATTTTGGACTTGGGTTCTGAAATTGTGACCCACAGCCACTTCGTCACTGGAGCCAGGCCTAAATCGTCTTGAGCACGCAGCCGCAACCTGCACATCTTTTTCCTCAGCGAGAGGCTGCAACGAATCGAAATGTAGTATGGCACTATGGCTTAAGATCTGCATGAAATCATTTTGGACAAAAGTGACTCTGTATAGCTCATGTTGGAAAGCCAACGCTATACGTGGTTAACTCTCTACCAAATGAATCATAATGAATCACAATGAATCAATGACCATCAATGGCCATCAATGACCATCAATGACCATCAACCTACCCTCTGGTAATTTAACATAGCTATTGAAAATGGTTTTTTATAGTGGATTTACCCATTAAAAATTGTGATTTTCCATTGTTTTTTGTTAGTTTACCAGAGGGTACAATCTGTTGGTCCCCTGGGCTGTGCCGAGTTCTGCCGAGTCACAAGTCGTAGAGGGTCTTGGAGACGTTGAGCTGCGCAGGCGTCCCGCTGAGCTCGAAGTCACGGCCGTGTTTCACGCTGGGATAGCCCTCTTCCTGGGGTCTCCAGTGTCCCAGGGCCATGAAAAACATGGAAAAAGTATGGAAAAAACTCATTTTGTCTCAGATGATTTCACTGAAATGGAGTGGATATTGCGAGAGCAATCGAGAGCAAACACAACATTGGCATTCGACAAACCAAAGCGGGAAGATTACGAACAAGAATGAATAACTTTACCAATACCAGTTGAAGCGTTGATTAACACGTGTATATATTATATACTATATATATATATATGCATTAGTTGTGAGATGTAAAGCATAGATACTCAAAAGGTTCACTCTATCCAGGCTCACATCCGCATGGCTTTTTCTTCCCAAACTCTTCGTGCGGTCTCAACCTGCTCCTCGCAGGATAGTGCTTTGGAACGCTGTGCAGGTAGTCTCCTGCACAGCAGCACTGGTTGGATCCGTACACCCTGTTCCGCACTCCTGTAAACTCAGGAGGCTACACAGGTTGAATCTCCCAATGCACTTCATCCCGAAGCACTCAGAGAAACTCCACAACCCGGAGAAACGCGGGAAGTGGTAGAGACCAAATCTCGAAGGGGAAAAATGCAAAATGCGTGGTGAACCCATGGCATTTGTGCCATGTTGCCTGGACGCCTGATCTCATCAGACCAGTTGGCCTTACTAGGGATCCACTCCCAGAAAAACCAAGCCTTAAGGCCAAAAAGAGTAACATGAATCAACCGTGACATATGCTCTAAATCTGCATTGTCAGAACGACCTCGAATCAATGCCATCAACGCTGCTGTGTTGTCGATGAACCAGAGACCTCGTCTGCCTCGAAATCTGGACGGCCGAGAAAACAAAGCGTAAAGCACTTGCAGCAGCTCTAACTGGGCAATCTTCTTGTCACCAGGCTCCCATAGGCTATACACCAATGGGGGAATGAGAGAAACAAACGCCTCTCGGTGTTGCCGGTGATCGTCATGCCACACCACCAAGAAGCCCCCAGTCCCCTGACCTGGGCTCTCCAACGCAGCATCCGAAGCAGCGAGGAAGCGGAGCCCTGCATGTGGCCAGATCTCAATGTGGCGAGAGGGACGGGTGGTGATGACAGTGCTCAGCAGGTCAAAGCTTTGGCGCAACTCCTCAGTTAACTCTGCGGAGCGCTCCTGCTGTCTATGCTTGATTGGGGCCAAGCCACCGCAGCCAATGCGCCCCCACACGCCAAGCTCAAAGAAGTTGGCGATGCCGTAGAGCTTGGCCGCCACCCCTGGTTGCAGCTTGCCGGAGTCCTCGGCGGTCTGCATGAGGTGAAGCAACTTGGTCTCGATGCGTTCACGGGCCCAAAACTGAACCAGACCCTTCAAATGGACTTGACTGAAGTCGTGATCCAGGCCCAGGAAGGTGCCGGTACTCTGCATCTTCTGACATTTCTCCTCGGAAAATGGTGTGCCCAAAAGGTTGTTAAGGGTCTGCATAGCTCTCTGACCTGATCCTCGGCACGACTTGCGGTCTGTCAAGTGAGCATCATCGAAATACAGACTGGTCAAACAAAAGGCAAATCGACGTGATAAAGCCTCCACAAAACGACTGTATCGATTGAACGATGTGACCGCAAGAGGAAGACCAAATAGCAAACCTGTGTAAATCATAAACGCTGGTTGTTGCCATTCATGATGGAAGAAAGCCACAATGCAGCACAAAGCCTCATCCCAACTCATAGGGCAAAAACGATAGGCATCCGGCCAATCCTCACCTCCGGACTCCCATTCTTCTGCCTCCCAGTTGGGTGAACTCCCAAAGGCGTAGGCATACTGCAGGTGTTGGGCCGGCCGCAGCGCTGAGCAAAGGGTGAGCTTGTTCGCGTCACTGGAGCGCTCAGATTGCAAGCCAACGTAGGCGTCGTCAATCACTCGTTGCTTCCCCGAGGATTGTGTGATGACGCATCGAGGGATCAACCGGTAGGGTTCCGCACCCAGACAACGCTGCAGTTCCTCTGCAGTCATGGGCAAACCACAAAATCCCTTCTCTGCATCTTTGAGGCTTTGCTGCAACAAAAACTCATCATCGGCATCTGGCTTGAGCCGAGCCAAAATGGTGTTGTTGTGGCTCTGCCAGTCCTGGAGTACATCCTCACGCGTCAAACGGGTGGCAACTTGTTCCGGAAAAATGCCATATGGCGGCGCATACCCCACTGCTGGAAGCCCCATACACAGGCCTGCTGGCAGTGTCACATCGCCCCAATTGGCTACAAGAAGGAGAATTGCAGTGAAACCGATATCACGCTGCATTGTTGCTGTCCTGATGGCCTCAGTCTGTTTGTGTCTCAAATGGGCCGTGATCGAGCTCCACCGTCTCTTCATCTCAGATAAGATGCCCATGGAGCGCTCTCGCAACCTACGCAGGTCCACTCCTGGCAGGCTGGAGAAAGATGCAGCAAACCTCAGGTCATCGTCCAAAATGGGAAGCCCCTCAGTAGGCAACGGTTGCATGCTGAGCTGAAGGGCTTGCTCAAAGTGCTGGTCTGGCTGAAGGTGAAAGGGCAGAAGAGGGGCCAGCGCCGCTCTGTGGTTGATCGCTCCCACCTGCTGACCTTCTGCCGTCCTCATCTTCTGCCGCACTGAAGGGGCTGCCAACACGGGGTTGCAGCTGCCCTCCATGTCCAGCCCCTGTTGGTGGCGCCATCGCACATACAGGTCAAGTGGGTGCTGGTTCACTAAGTCCTCCACGAAGGGGATGGCCACTCCCTCGAACCACTCTCCTGGATAAAGCTTTTTGAAAGCTAGCGCCAAGGACTCCTGCAGAATGTAGAATGGCCCAAAAGGGATGCCTGTAGCCTGCGCTACACTCGACAAGAGGACACGTCGGGTAACTCCCTGGTGACTCCTGCCATGCTGACCTTGGACCACCTGTGGGGCACCCCGCGGGCCCTGCTCACTCAAGCGATCAAAAATCAATCCGGCTAGGAGGTCGGCCTCGCAAGTTTGGGCCGCTGGGCAATCACAGACCAGCACTGACCCCTCGAGCTCATCCAACTCGCACCAGAGTGTCTCCCTGATGTATTGGACGTAGTAGGGGACCCAGTCTTGAGGGGTGCAATTCACGCCCAACTGCCATGGAGACTTCCACTTGGTGGTCGGCAGGCGGTGAGTATGACTTCCAAGCCCCACATACACATGACCGGGGGGAAGTGCACCCTGTTGCAATACATCTTCAACACATGCTCTCGTGGGCACCCTAGCTGCTTCAGCTGTGTCCAAGGGTCTCAAACCCAGGCTGATGGCTAGTGGGGTCATAGCCCACTCACGAAGTGCTCTGGGATCGAGGTCAAGCCAATGGTCCCGATGTCCGGTGCAGCTCGGCGATGGGGACCTCGGCACATAGAGCTTGGCGTGTCCAACACGCACTGCCCACCACGAAGCTGCCGTGGCAATTGCAAAACATAGCTCTGCTGTATACTCGGACTCCTCAGCTGAAGGAAAATGGCGCTTACCATCCTGCACCCAAGGTTCCCATTCCTGGGGATCATGGAAATGGTTGCAGTCAGCTCTAGGCCATTGGGCGATCTCTGCAATGTTGTGGCGCAGCCGCTGCAGCTTCGATCTGGCACCACCAAAGCAGCAGGCTGAATACCGCTGATCGGACCAGCGACCGCTCTCCCACATCGCCACCTCATCCGGTGTCCACCAGTGGAGGCTGTTGTATGGGTTCTCGCGGACTGATCCACCACCCCTGTCCACCAACTGATCGATCTCGGACAGCACGAAGCTTGCAGCCGCATTGTCCTGCTCCACCCGTGTCAGCTGAGACCCTGTTAGCTCAGGGAGACCCAGCGGGTGTTGCTCAGATCGCAACGGCCGGGGTGGTGGGCGCCCATCACCAAAGTCCCGCGGAATTTCCCTCGCGCGGCTCTTGGTGGAGCAATCCAAAGCTGCTGCGATGAAGCACACGGACTGCAACTGCTCATGCAACGATTGCTGCCTGAGACTGTTGGATAGGTCATGACTCCTATCCAACATCCAATCCACGGAAATGGTCTCCCAACCACAAAAGATGAAGGCTTTGGACAGAGGTGTCTTAGGCCCCGCATAAAGGTCCGCCATCCGTGGCAGCTGACAGTCAACTCTGTCTACGGGTCTTGCCTCATCCTGCCCAGCAGAAGTGCCCGCCTCTCCCGCTGGGCCCCGTCATGGCGAAATCTTCGCCCGACATTGGATGGCTCCATGCCCCGGCATACCACAAATGCGTTCACCACGAACCACGATACCACACTTGTGCTGACCTTGGGGGCAAGAGCTTTTGGGGTTCTTGGACTGTCCATGTTGGAAGGCCTGACAAATCTTGGAGCCATCGCGCATCACCTTGGCCACCTTCTTGCCACTGACCGGCTTGCCCAGCGCAAACTGGGATGGTGGCTGAACTGCTGCCGCAGCCACTGTGGTGGGCTTGCTCGCCTCTGCCTTGAGTGCTCCGGGCACCGCGTGTGGTACCCAATGGGCATCACGTGCCACACAGGTCTCCTTGATGACCTCCCCCAAGGACTTGGATGATTCCCGAAATTTGGCAACCCAATCGGAGCGATCCTCAAGGTCACGAGCTTCTAGCCAGGCTAACCTCTGTGACAACGGCAGTGCACTTGACTGACGCTTCGCTCTGTAGAAATATTGCATGACGACATCCAGCGGCACCTCCACGAAGGTTGTCGAGTCGGCGCCAAGGGTCTTCTCCGCCGAGGCATCCCGCACATTAGCCCTGGGGGTCACTCCCGCCATGGCATATGCGACCAGCAAAGTGAGGAGACGATCCAGATAGTTCTCCCAGTCATGAGGGATCTTGTCCTCGTCCTCAGCCTCCTCAGTATAGAGCCCTTCCGCCAGCTTGCGCTTCTTCTGAGTCGTGTGGAGCTGGTACTGCAAAGTGCGAACCTTCCACAAGTTATATACGCACAGCATCCTCTTGGATAGCTCCCTGCTGATCCGAGAGAGCGTGGCATCAGCTGGATGGATCTCTGGTGGGAATCTCATCCGATACCGAACCCAGAAGTTGGATTTGACATCACGCAACTCCGTGTCGGCCAACATAGTATCAAGATCGCTGACACTGATCTTGGACCTATCCTGGTCCTGGTTCTTGTAGTACAAGGTCACTGCAGTCCAAGCTCTACGCAGCCTAGAGCCTTGAATCAACCTATCATCACCGAGTTGCAACTTGGCCAAGAACGTGTTGACTTTCGACTCATCCTCAAAGAGGAACCGAAACTCCTCAAGGTTCTGAATCTTGGTGGCCAACAACGCCTTGGTCACAACGGGGTCCAACGAAAAATTCAGCCCTAGAGACTCCATGGTTTCCTGAATGGTGGTACTCTCCACCGGAACCAATCGAACACTAGTCATTTTCTCAAGGTAACTCCTTGTATGACTTGAACATTCAAAGCTGCTCACCCCCAAACATGCCTCCCGCATGCTGCACATCACCTGCCATCCAGGGACAGAAGGAGGTGACAGGGGGGGTAAGACAAGAACTCCCCTGTTCCTCAGGGGTACGACAGACTGTATCCTAGTCTCTATCCCCGGCGCACATCATGTAGCTTGTCCTCACAGATACCTGTGTAAGCCACCTCATGACATACCGGTAAGACTAGTTATCACAGCCTGTCATGACTTCATCCTCCCGGATGTTGATAGGGCCATTTTCCACGCAGAAGTCAAGCTCTCAAATGGTTCAAATGCATGTTAGCCTACGGGCAAGCTATGGACCACATTGATCAGCTTACCAAAATCGGCCCTGTGCGTCTCTTATTCAAATGAATTCTGGTGCGCCACTCCTGACAAGGTCAGCGTGGATGCCAGCTCGCTGCTGCTCGCACCAAACAACCGTCACAAAAAGCGCGGCCCCAAGCCATAGCCTCCCTCATGTCCTGCGTCGTCATTGGCTTCACCAAGCGGATTGCACGCTCGGCAGATTGCTTGTGGGAGCAGAGGGTCTGGCCGTTGTTGAGCTCCAGGTGGACCTTTGAACGAAGTGTCGCAATGTAGCCACAGGGCTCTGGGAACGGGTTCCTGAGGGAGCTGGTCCTGAGAGTCGTGTCCACCCACGACCTCATACCCTCTTCATGGATGATCCCCGGAATGTCCAACGAGCGCCTGCCTTCTTCGAAGTCCCTGTTCCTTGAACCACCATGGGCCACACACAGGTGTTTCAAGAGGGCATCTGTGAGCACCACTCCTCCTCTGGATGATGGGGCTTCGGCCATGCACGCAATCTGAAGGGTAACTCCCTTTGGAAAGCGATTTGCCGTGTTCCTGGTTGGGATTCCACTCAGCCACAGCTTGCCCCCTGCCCTATTCTGATAAATAAGGCTCGGGCTCTCCGCTGTCTTGCCATGGACTGTCGCCAACCTGTCGAACTTCTGGTCGGGCCCTCGAGTATCCAGCGCCTCTGGAATCGGAAGGTCCTCCTCCTCGACTTCAACTTCTTCTTCTTCCGAACTAGTAACCAGGGCTGGCAATGGCGCTGGAGGTGGAGCTGGGGCTGCTTTGGCCTTCTTCGCTGGCGGTGCCTTAGACGGCGGCTCTTGTGGGGACCTTGAGCGCCTCACTGACGCCCTCGGAGGGGCAGCTGGCTCCGGAGGTCGCTCCTCCGTGGATTTGCTAGTAGGCTTGGCCTTAGCAGATCCCGAACCAGGCCCTTCGCCAGTCATCTCCTCCACCTTGATGAACTTCTTGTCGTGGCATTCACATGCCGGATGGCCTCCACCACAAACTCGTCCAGCTTTGCGCAGAATGGCGCATGCATGGCGACCAGGACACGTTTCCTTCTCCAAGGGGCAAGACCTTGTCTGAAAGGCTCCACAAATAGGCGCCCCATTCTTCATGAATGCGCTCAGCACCTTCCCGTTGAGGGATGCCGGCATCGCAGACAGGCCACCCTTGGCTTGTGCCTCCTCTCGTTTGGCCGCAGCTTTGAGCTTGAGAGCCTCCGACAGCTGGAAACGCGCCTGCATCTCCGCCTTCGTCAAAGGAGCTGCCCAAATGACCCTGGATTCCTGCTTCAGCACCTTGTCAACGTTCTGGCGCGCATACTCCAGGGCCTCAGCATAGGTCTCTGTTGGGATGGTCTCCCATGACTCATGGGCAAGCAGCTTTTCCATGGCCAACCTCACAATGTGCTTGGTCCTCAATGAAGACTCATACCTAGCTGCACTGTAGTGCATAGGCATTGTCGCCTCCTTTGGGATCTGGGAACGATCTGCCCAGTCCCCCAGTGAACATAGCTCGAGAGGCGTCAGCTTCATCAAAGTGCCCACTGTGGGCGCTGCTCGCCGCCAGGAATAGGAAGACAAATCCTCTGTATTCTGGACCAAATGCTCAAAGACCTCACGATTGAGCTCATTGACGAACTTCAATGTGTATGCGGTGCCCTCCGCATCAAAGCATAACCCAGAAGCGGCTTGCTTAGCCTTGTCCAGACTGCTGTAGTCCCTGAATAAGGCCGAGCCCCAAGCCCATCCATTGACGAATGTGGCCGGGATGCTGAAGGAGAACCCGCCCCTGTTGGCCTTCTGCTTCCCCTTCGTGCAGTAGCCATGAAAGGAGCTGGGGGTCACTTTGACTGGCCTGGCACGCATGATGTGCTGGTATCGCAGGACACCAAAGGTAACCGGCCAACTGGACAGTAAGCCCCTCCAACGCGGGTCCCCTGCTTCGTACAACGATTGAATCTTCTCTTCAAGCGCTGCAATCATTGGGGGCTCAACTGCGACAGCCTGTTCTGGGTTTGCCTGTTTGGGTGGATTCTTGCGAGCTGGGACTGGTACATCACTGAAGTCCCATTGCAACCGGCCATGTTTGGAGAACCACTTCAAGGAATGAAAGGCTCGGTAAGGCCCCGACGTGCCGTTCTGCAAGAAGCCGTAGAGGTCCAATGCATCCGGTGGGAACAGGCGGTCCTTCTGCTCCATGTAGGCCCGCAACTCAGCCCAGGACTTCAGGGCGTTCACCACCGTCGCTCCTTCGGCCTCCGTCACCTTCCGCTTGGACAGGGTATCCAGAGCGTCTTGCCACTGAGCGTACCTCTCAGGGGTCAACTCCCCTTGAGGACGCATAACCTTGGCTTGAGAAAAGGCCTTCCTCAATGCCGCAGCTCGCAGCAGCACAGTCTCTGGTTGATCTGGACCATCTTGCTCTTCTTCATCATGGACGCCTTGGGCGCAGGCCATGTCGTTGGCCGGTCTCTGGAGCCCGAGCTTTCAGCCACGGCAGCCGCTTGAGGGATGAGGTCAGCTTCTGCAGTCTTGGAGCGCGCTTGCAACCACGCATCTGCCACATGGTGTCCTCCATGTGCCACTGCGCTGTCATAGGATGCAAACGCATATGCGAAGTCGGTCTCATCATGTAGTCCCCATTGAGCTCGCCACTGTTCAACACGGGTGGATGCCACCCTCTCCATCGCCGTCTCTGCACAAGGTGGAGCCTCACCAGCAGCCTGCACCGCATAGGCTCCTGGATGGTACTCCATGGCGACTCCTGACACCACCGCCGCCAAGGTTTGGAGCGTACGGGCTGGGCCTGAAACTGCAGACCACACCTCAGTATCATCAGGTAACAAACACACATCACTAGGCCGCAGCTGCTGCAGATGGGTCTCGACGCAAGACGGGGTGACATCCTGGACACTGGGAGGGTGGACAGGTACTGCACACTGAGGAGAAGCATCGCTCACAGAGCTCAGGTGTCGGCAGTCCACAAGCCTTGCAAGGTGGCAAGGGTTCCTCCCCAGCCTCCATGGCACCGAGCCAACCCCATAACGACCGAACTGCTCTGGCCCGTGGTGCTCTCCACGCAACCAGGTCAGCCGGGATGGGCACCATGGATGGGTCCCTCCATCCACGCTGTGGGGACTGCCAGGTCCTCCAAACATCCCAAAGTTCGGTGAGGTCGACCATGCTATCGGCATTGTGCTCGATGAAGGCGACCAAACCAAAGATGTTGTCCGGCGCAAAGTCCCGAGCCGTCCAATGAGTCCGCAGCGGCTCGATGAGTAGCAAATCCAGCTTCGCCTCGCCCAGGCGATCATAGTAGGATTGCCACGCACGCCGCGGGTCACTCCCGGGCAGAGCCAAGACAGCTGAGCTGTTCCATGTGCCGATCCAAGGGAACTTGAATCCTCCCTGATACTCAGTACACCTCCTACAGTTTTCTTCCATGCAAGGTGACCGTCTGAAAGGGGGAAGTCCCTGCACCCCCAACCCAAGTGGATGTGGGGGGAAATGATCAATTTGGCACACAGAAGCCCACAACCGGGTGGCCTCGGCCACCAAGCCCTGCTGGAGTAGGCTCTCCACGTGCGTCTTGAACTCGTAGTAGGCAGCTGCATGAAGCAGCTCCACATCCGTGTGGGCCGCCTCATTCCAACCGGGCCGAACGACGATGGAGGCCCTTGGCATCGAGGGGGGTGACCTCCCACCTTCGTAACCTCTGTACTCTAGGGTAACGCCCTAGTAGAGGAACGAGAAACCACTGAACCTAGGGTAACTCCCTAGAAGTGGCGTGGGTACCCCAGCAAAAGAAAGAACGATGAAGCCAGTTTGGCTCAGACTTGAGCCAAAATGGATTCATCAGCTTACATACTCACCCTAATGATAATGCACACCCAGTGCCTGCCAAACACGATGCATACATATCTATATATACAATGTATGTATATATATATATGCGATGTGGGCATGATGCGGGCATGAAACCAGGACCCAGCAAGCCAGTGCTGAAGACATACTTAAAACATGCTGGAACAAAAATGAAGACATATATAATCACCTCCTTTTGTTTCTCCATTTCAAAGGTACCAAAATGTATCAGCCATGAAAGACTTCAAGCCTTTTCCGCCACAGATCCCAAGTCAGTCAAGGCTCATCAAAGATGTACACCTCCTTCCAGTTCTTAATGTAGTGCGTCAAATCCACATGGTCATGTACCCGTGATGCAAAGTCAATACCGCAGACGGACACCAAATGGATCCGCGTCAAGGTTGGATCTCCAACTTCCCGTGCGATGACGCGCCCATCAAAGCGCATGATCACCGGGTTCGTGCTGCACCTGGACATACCACAACCGGTGATCCCGGTGATCGATGTAGCAGTTACGTAAAACTAGTTACTAGTTACATCTAGTTACCTACCAATGGATTCAACAAGATGAAGTGAGCGTGGCTCAAAAACAGGGGGGCGAACGGACCTGGAAAGCAATCGGTTTGGAGCCACAGCAACATGGATGAGAGAGATTTGTGCACCTCATTTAAAGCCACCATCTTTCATGTTTTTCCCCGCTTTTACAATGGGATTTACCATGATTTACCATCATTCATGGTGAGGTGGTTTGAGGGTGCTAGAAATCGTCCAAAGAGACTGTAGAACTTGGGTTCCTGCCTGATGGCAAACTTCATCTTCCAGGCTTCTTCGCCTGCCTGAAAAAACAATGGATCTGAAAAAAAGTGAACGTCCTCGAACCTTCTTGGATGATCTCAGTTTTCCACATGGTGAACATGTTGAAGTTTCTCATTGGTTCTCTTGATTTTCGCCATATCATACCATATCACCATCCCAAAAGCATTGCTTCATCGACACCCCGGTGTTTTTTTTTACACCGCGGACCTCGGATTTTCCCTGCAGAGATTGGCTCACAAGGTCTTTGCCTTCCTCGCCCACATAAATGTCCGAGGCCTCAGATCCCAGCGCCTGATGGATGATGGAAATTGATGGAATATGGTGGAAGAAGATGGTCCATAAATGTCCATAATATGGTGGAATAGATGGTAGAAGACTCCAAAAATGAAGTCGAGCTTGGTATGAAGATGTATGGAGATCATCCAAAAGTCGAAACTTAAAAATTGGAAAGGTTGCACCAAATCATAGTGACTCTGACAATGAGGGAAACGCAAGGAAAACTGAGCCTTCAAATTTAGTTTTCCACATCATCATTCAAGCGGGTGTGGTAAAAAAGGTCCCAGGGATTCTGAACCCAGGACGGTTATTCAACTAATCCCTGTTCACTCTCCTCCGCATCAAAAACACATCACATCAAGTGGTACAGTTGAAGGTCCAACATCTCACCATCTGAGGCTGTCAGCATAGTAGGTACGAAACGAAGACTGCCACTGCAGGATTTCACTCACAGATGCCTTGAAGGAGCAGGGCAGACCTAGGTGTTCACCAGAAATATTGCGGAACTGATGGGAAAAATCTGATCTCTCAGCAGCATAAATCAGGGCCAACAAGAAAGCGGATATTTAAGCAACCAAAGTGGCGATGTGTAGTCACTGTAGTCAACAAAAACACCGATATTTACCGTATCTGACTGAAACATACTGAAACGATGCATGTCAACTCCTGCGAATTCCGTTGCTCCAGAGCAAGCGAGCGGCCGTCTTGGCCCACACCTTTGTAAACTAGCTCCTGGAAAGAACGAAGCTTGCACTGAGCTGTACCTCCTGTGGAAACCTGCAAAATCACAACCTTGGTTTTGAAAAGTCACCACAAAGAGCAGAATTCTTGTGGGCTGCATCGCAAAGTGACCCAGCAGCAATTTACAAACAAAAATCCAAAGTCAAAACATGAAAACATATTGCATTATGTGACTCAAACAAACTAATCCTATAGCTCTATGAATGGTATATTCTCAGTGACGCCAACATTCCCAACCTCACGTGCTGCAACTATCTGCAACTCCTCCCAGTCCTTGTCAGCAGGAAAGTCGGACAAAGGCTTCGTCAGCTCAAAGGCCTTCACGCCTTGAACGAAGTATTTGTGGTGGAGCTGCTTCATCCCCACCTGACGCTTGTGGCATGTCGCCAACCAACACACAACACAGAGCAGTGTTCACTCTCTTCACGGAAATCAATCGAAACAACAATCATCTCTGGATCCTGGTCGGATTTTGAAATATTCAGTTTTACGACAATGCCAAATAGATTCCAGATCCATGGCCTCCTCCGTCATGAAATCCTCCATGGCCAAAGTCTGGGCAATGCACTTGCCTCCCATGGTCCTGCCACACCAGGCAGCCATTGGTTTCAAATGTGCCTCTCAAAAGCACATCAGGTTCTATGTCTATGTACATTGTATTCAATATCTACTTGTCTCTATATCATATACAGCATAATTAATATATATATATATGTATAGAATCATGATTGAATATTACAGATCGTTAGTATGTACATATATATATATCTTCTATAACCACACCGCCCTTGGCCCCACAGTCCGTTTGTCCATTTCAGGCAGCATTTGCAGCTGATCTATCAGCTGTTGGAGCTCCGCAGTCACCTTGCAGGCCTCATAAAAGCGGAAATCATGCGATAATTTGAGGACATCATTGCCGATATGAGGATATGAATGGGTATATTGATG